CAAAGTTTCCCGTCGTTGTTGAGCCGGCAGCGCCGTCTACGACCATATATTGTCATGTAAGGATACACAGTACGTAGCGGAGATACCGGAAGTTAGCGTCGTCGTCGTCTACACGCGCGAGCAGTGCGTTCATGCATCGAATGATCGAACACTGTGAGCACTATCGGTCGTTCCCCCCGATTTCGCTCTCAGTGCAGCGCTGATTTGCTTCTTCTACTAGGGCTCCACTCCACCTCGGGACGATCGCCTCTCGTATACTTGTATACCTGAACATCGCCCGGCCGCGGCATGTCTACGTGCACAGGCCACGCCAGAGCACAACCTGACAGGCAGCGCTGGGAACAAACGCGCGGAGGTTTCCAGTGCAATACGGTTGGACAGGTCACCGCGTCGATAGCCTGTCCTCCGCCGCCGCCGACCCGACAGTTCAAGGGCGCAAGGTAGCACCCCAATCCGAATAGTACAGCTCGACGCAAGCTGTGCTACGAATCGCAGTACAACACGGATCGGGCGCGCTCGGAGTCCGTCGACTGCGTGTCGCGTCCGAAGCACCTCGCTTTAATGAGCCTTCCGCTCTGGTCGCCTACCCGATCGTGCTTCCGCGCAGGCGTTGTCCATCTTGTACTCGGGAGTCTGCATCGGCGGCACTATGCGCCCCATCTCGACATCGTAACCGGATTGCCAGCGCGGATGTCCGCGCGCGGCACTCCTTGTTGCTTGCAAGTCTGCGAAGGAGACAAGAGGACGAGTGTTTGGACACTCAGAGCGGGCGCGCAGTGCGTGTCCACACAGCGCTACTCGCATGTCGCTTCGCTCGCTGGCTGTATGTACATACATCCGAACAGAGGCGCGTGTTCCCTTGCCGCGAACTCGATGCATGATGATGTAGACATTTTCTGGTGCTATAGCCTGTATCGTGCCCTAAGCAATCTTACTGCCGTATCCTCGTCCAAGGCGGACTTTGCGCGGCGTCCGCGACCACGCTCGAGAATGTTACTCTCCATGTTTGCCGTTCTACTCCATGGTACCTGGGAGATGGCTGTGACACGGCGACCTGGCTCACTAACATGCTTTAATGATGGAGACATCGGGAGGGGAACATAATCCGCTCGGGAGTGTTTCTACTATCATCACAGTGAAAACTCGCGCCGCAACCTGGTGCGGCCGTACGTTCAGCAGTCACTACGACTTGAGTCGAGGATGCGTATGCGAATGAGGTTGTGCGATAGGTAGCACCGGCGGCGGGTCGATGGCGTCTTCGCCCGCCGAAGGAGCGCGAGCGGTTCACGTACGTCTACGCTGTGAGCTCGGCTTCGAACGGGCCCCAGCACTTCCTAATGCGCACTGCGAACAAGTCATACGCATAATATTTGCGGCAGGTTTGAAGCATGCCATCGATGAAGATGATGGTGTTACTGAGCGTTCGAGTGAGGTTACATTGTAGAAACGAAGTGAATGTACAAGGCGAGTCAAGGGTGGAATGGACAAGGGTGGAAAGAGTTCGTTGAGCGGAATCCTCGAGCATGAGATACACGGCCACACCGGCTGCGGGGTGAACAGGATGAGTATGAGTAGCCGCAACAGGGGGCGGAAGCGGTACATACTTCAGCGACGTCAAGACGGACACTCGCCGCATGCGAGTCCCGTGGCTTCGTCCTCTTCTGCACTATGATATTCTTCCGCGCTATCGTCTCCCGTGTCCGTCGCGTCCTCATAGTCCGACTCCGGAGACTCGTAGTTCACCCCAAGGACATGATCATCGTTTCTGGAGCCCGATGCGAGGGATTCGGTGTCAGAGTCTTCGGCGTCATCCTCATCGCTGTCGTCCGTTGCGACACTATCTCCACCAGAATCGTCCGAGTTGCTAGCATGGGTGTCACTAGTCGAATAATGGCTCTCTTGGACCTCTCTGTATGCAAGGAGCTCGTCTTCACCGAGCTGCAGAACATCGGTGGCCATCCTATACCGGAGTGTGCAGTTTTAGTATGATACCCAACTTGTAAGCCCTAAATCGACACCGGTGCGTACTTTGTCTCTGTGGTGAATACGAGGTCTCCAAGCACCTGTGTCGAAGTGAACAGTGGAGCTTTCACACCTTGGACGGGCTCAGACTGCGGTGTCGAATCGAAGATGATACCTGCCGGCACGGAGGTGGGATACTTCTCCGACGACCAGAATCCGCTCGGAACATTGCAGTCGTGAGCAGAACCATCGTTGCCGTCGAATTGCAACACGAAGAACCAAAGTGGTGGGTATACCTGCTCAGTGGCATGCGCGCTCATCGTGATGGTCGTCTCAGTGAAATATTCTCGGTACAGGGCTAGACATCCATATCAGCGACCGAGACACAGAAATACAGAACGGGCGCACCTATACCGATGTGCGCGTATTGTCCTTGAAGGACAGATAGATCCGGTAGCGCACGCATCATCCTCGAGGCAGCATCGAATCCGTCCAGCGCGCATACACGTTGCCGAATCAGAAGTGTTGTATTCACGGGAATGCAGGAAAATTGGTATCTGAGGGGTTGATTCAGATGAACTAGATCGGGGTGTGAGCGGCTCAGATATTCCTCTCACCTCTGCCATCTTTTCTGGCCCCCGCCCGTGCCTAGCTCGAATTCGATGCGCATCCCGTCAAGGTCCGATTCCGGGATATCGAACCAATCAGCCATGTCAAAGCTCTGGTAAAAATCACGGCCTTCTGCCCTCGTGAGCTGACTGGCGAGACCGCTTGATTGGTGTACTTTGCGGCGACTCACCTTGCCTGGGTCTGCGAAGTACAAGTGGTACACTCTCCATTGTTACAGCGACCTCGAACCCGGGATCTTGTGCAGACGAACAGGTCCAATATTTGTCAAAGCTGTTGCGTCCCAGCCACACTCCGAGTGGATACCGTGAACAGTCAGCAATATGCTCCCAAATACGCCACCATGAGCGACCTGGGAGGAGGCCGGACATGTATGACAGAGAGGGTCTCAGGATGGATGAGAACCAATGCTGCACCAGAATGTCCACGTGCGCAGATGCAATGGCACGAAGAACTGACACGGTAGTCAGTATTCACACTTCCAGGGAATCGTTTGCATGCCGTACGTTCTATCCTGCACATCCTATCTTCTTGCGCAGCCGGGACATCTATCATCTGTGTATAGGTATAGTGAGAGTGGGCGCATGATGAGGGTCATGATTCTTACATGAAGATCGTCTGGCTTCTCAAGTGCGAGGGGATCCCGAGCCCATTTGATACGGCCTCCACGGCGGTGATCAACTACAACCTCGTCTGATCTGATGGTATGGATATCTTCATTTGTATCCTGCATGGACATAACATATGGGCGATAAGTCAGTAGACCTGGTGGTTTTGTAGCAGGTACATCATACCCAATATGAACCCATGGGCAACAGTCGACACAGATTCACCTGAGTTTCAACATGGTTGATGGCCATCTGCCTCCGATACATTCAGAACTCGACTACATCCACCGGATCACTGGTTGAGTTGAGGTATACGTACACAAATTGCTGCCTCCTTTATAGATATCGTCAGCTTCGTAACAGTATCAGGGACATCGAGGCTACGTGCCATTTGCATGATCACTCGTAACATGCTGGTTCCACGAAATGAGCTGAGATGCTCCACAAAAGGAATGCAGTCTATCGAAGAACAGTTCAGCCGCGGAGACAGGCTTTGAATATTGGCCGTTGCGAGTGATATGCCGCCGTACCTTCCATCACAATGTAAGCGGCCTGGTCTGGATCTCCTGGACGAGAGTATCCTAGCATAGCCAGCAAATTAGGATGGCTGTTGTATGGCCGTCAGATGCACGTCCCCAGGCAGAGCGATCTGGACGTACCGACGGGATTGCTTCGCAAGGTTCACTGCCTCCACGAACAGCTGGCTGCCGCGATTAGGATATTCGTATACGACCACCTGTGTTCCGGTCAGGTTGCCTGCGGCCTCAACGACGGCGCGGTGGCGGAAGACGCGGCCGGTCTGCGAGAGAGAGACGGCGTTGACCAGGGTACGTTCGTCTCCGTTCCACCCAGTCATGCCATGATGCAGCTTTCCCGAGTCGACGATGGGCTCTGAGTCTAAGAGGACCAGATTCTCATGAGCGAAGAGCCGGAACTACGACGTCGATCGTTATGAGGGCACACTTCAGGAAGCGGTAAGCAGATTCAGATACTCACATTTCCATCGAACGTGGCGCTCCCACTGACGTGCTGCGCGAGGTGCGTGATGCCATCGCGGATCTCTCTGGTGTCTCGAACGACAATCCCTCCGACGCGTGCTGAGTCGTCCATGTACTGTAGCATACGGAGGTTCCCGCTTGCCAGCGTGTCCTGGATGGAGAGCGCAGCCTGAATCTAGTGACAATCGTGCCATCAGTGGGATTAAGTGCGACGGGAGCCGCTCGGTCTGTACCATGAAATTGCGATGGGAGTCTTCGAGCTTTGTGGTGAGCGTCTTGACCTCCTGGGCGATCTTCCCGCAATTGAGCGCAAGCCAGAAGCGATCTCGCTTTCTGGCTCGCAGACGGCGAGCCATCAAGTTCTCGATGTCCAGCAAGTTGCTTGTGTCGGATCGAGTCAGTTCAAACTGATGTAGAGGGGTCGAATTCTAATACGCACTGCAGAAACGTCGTGACATGCTCTTCCACCTCCATTCCGCCACCGCCGTTCTTGAGCTGCTGGTATATTGCCAGCACAGATGTTGCCGCACGTTCGGCGAGGGCTCGGCAGTCATCTCGAGTGTCTTCGATCTCCTAAGCCCGGCGCACTGCAGGTTACCAAAGACGAACCATGATTGTGGACGACTTATCCTTACCTTGGCTTTCTTCGCGATACTGAGGGCACATTCGACGGCGGTGTTGAGCCCGGGGATGGGGATTTTGGCCGTTACAGGCTTTGCTAACTCTAGCGCCGTGATCGATACATCAAGGAGCTTCATGACGTCGGACGAACAACTCGGGGACTTCGAGCGGGTGCGAGAGGGGGCTCTATCTGCTCCCAGTGGTGGTGAGATAGGTGTACGAGGACAAGAGGACGCCTACGACGTGCCGGGGTGCAGAGGCGTATTAGGGTTTCGAAGACGTTGCTTCATGTTCCCAGCGGCTGTACGAGAATACAGGGCGAGGCAGCGCCCTTCCAGGCGCTGAAGACGCGTGTCGCAAACGCCATGCAGATCCAAGTACTTTTCCTGTTGGCCAATCCGAGCCCCCGTTCGCGCAGAAGGCAGTCCACGGCGGTAAAAAACAGTAGTATCCCAGACATATGGCATCAACCTGATACACATCCTTGCTGGCAGCTATCACCGCTGCCCGAGTCCCAAGTCGTTATCGTGGCACCGCGATGAGGTCGTTTTGTACAACAGACTAGGACGCTAACCTAGGATCGTTGTATCAGTAGGGGCACGCTGCTGCCCATATGTCGCGCGGAGCTCTCGCAGTACGTGTCAAGCACGTACGGTAACTTGACGAACACAGCCTAGCAGCGCCCAGGTGTGGTGAGTGCTTCTTCTATGCACCCAGGCTCGAAAATTATATCCTCATCTGCCACAGCTAATTGCAGCGCAACATCACAACAGAAGGAGACGCACCCTGGTGTTTGCATGAAGCTGGGCTAGGGCATAGATGGCAGGGTGTACTCGGAAGAATTCGCAGAGCGCCCTGCATTTTCGGGTGCGTACTATGGTCGTTCAACGGGCACTGCACAAACGCGCACATCGTGGCTGTGCATGGACGCAGGGTTTTCGATCCTCCTACCTATTTGGTGTTCACGCATGGCCGGCAGCTTGCCACTCCAACCAGACCGGTCTAGCGAGAGGAGCCTATGTTGCGTGGAATACGGTTCGCCCGGTGTTCATCCGCAGACGGCGCCTGGAAGACGCATAATCTGGCCGCAGCCGGTGTTTTTCTCGCGCCAGAGGCGTGTTGTGTTTTTTTGTTGACCAGTTTCGTTGTAAAGCGGCAAGATGCATATGAGGAGGGCCCGGAGTGTGAGGCAAGGCGGTAATGTCATGCAGGCGCCCGGGCACCCGACGCGTTGTTTATGGACCAAACAAGGCCACGCGTCCGCTCGAGTCGGACCGAGTCGCGGTCTGCACCTGCACCTGCACCTCCTCATCCTCCTCCCCCGTCTTTTCTCTGCCAACGCCCGCCCTTCTGTCCTCGGTGCTGCGCCTCACAGGCTCTGTGTTTTCCGAGCTTAGCATGGAGTCACATTTCACCCTCTTGGTGCCCGACTCGCGTCTCTCGCTGGCTGTCCTCTGCTTGCCACACAACCGGACACGCACCCTCTCTGCGGTACTCGCCCTGTACCATACCGCAACACGTGCATGGTCTCGCATACTCTGCAGCAGTCTGTCATCCTCTGTCGGACCTCTCGCCATCTCCCCTTTTTTGGCTCCTCCGGGACTTTTCTGATCCTCTACACATCGTGTACATCTCGTTTCCGGTGCGTTATCAACCCCGTCCAGCACAAGTATCATTCCCAATGCACATCCGAAAGGCCTTCTCGCCCTTCATAACCGCGCATAAACGGATTCAACTCAGTGCTTGAACCCAACTATGTCTCTCCCGCAGTCCACAGCAGGACTATCATGTGCAGACTGTCGTTAACCTGAACGTCCGGTTGTTGCGCATGTCTAATGGACGTTGGCCAGCCTCGCCTGATGATGTTATGCGGCTCTCCATGCAGATTCAACTCGTCGGCTGATACAAGCCCTTCTCTGCTGTGCAAGGCTCAGTGTCATACATGTGGGTGCATTTCTAGGCCATCCATATCCCCAAATACGATGATCATTCACATTTGCAACACAATTCGATTACAGAAAATGATATTCATCCGCGCTGTCTTTAGATCTAGCCGCTCTGAGCGCCATGTATCGCCTCTGTAAGCCATGTCTTCCTTAGCTGAACCTACGCCTGTGCTGTACAGTAACGTTGGGCAAGTACGCACCGAGCCGCTCCGAATGGCTGCTCTGCTAAACATGCCATCGATATCCATATTCCGTCGTGGCCTTCGCGATCTGGCGAATGACACGATATGCATATACGAATCGCGGGGCGTAGATCTTGTCCGTCTCAGCATGCCGTTGCTAGATAGACAACTCACTGACAGCTCGCGGCTTCTACGTGCAGGTATCGCAACCTGCGCGACGCGGGACTCCCCGTGTCGGTGCCTGCGCTTTCGTGACTACTCGACGCCTGGAATCGCCTCCGCCATGGCGCGGTCCTGCAAGAGATCCAGCATGATGTACGCCCAGAATGGCACTCCACGCAGTCTCTGGAGGCGTCACAGGTGCGTCGTCTTCCTCAGATCCCGTCTCCGCGCTCACGAGCGTGTCGCGCACGCCCCGCGCGACACACGTACCCCTCTCCCCGCTTGGTACGCGCGCGGCTCGACAGCACACCGACGCTCTACTTCGACGCCACACTGGGCGGTGCCAGATGTCAGACTCGGATGTTGCTTGGGTAGAGACTAGAACGTGTCCGAGAACACCGTCATGAGCAGTATTAGTACGAGATCGGGCATCGGGCGTGGAAGCATCGTCGCCGTGAATAGCGGTTGTCTATCACCGTGTCTCGCAGAGTAAGTATATTCTCTGCATCCCAGACTGCATGGTAAGGCTCACCGAACACATCACAAGTCAGCAACATCGTCCAAGGCAAGAAACGATCCATGCATGCATACACCATGCACTGCAAAAAATAGAGGTACGCTCGTAGTAAGTGTGAGTGCGGAGACAGCGAGGACTATGGACTCATTTCCGAGTTCGCTCACAGGGTAGATTTCCTTCGTCTACTTTTCTGGGCAGACTTCTACCCCACCCTGATGTGCACGCTCCTCGCGCTCACCACCGCAGTTCGGACCGAAGTACGTCCACGCCAACCCAAGATTTACGGGACACCCCGAGAGGCGGACATAGGAACGAACGCTAGTCGCCTGTCTCTCTTGAACACCATCAACCCGGCTATCCAAGATCGCACTGAAGCACGGACTCAATACTATACGACTCGACACCAGTGTACAACGCGATGTAGCGCAGCACGGGTCGGGCACGAACTGAGCCCGTCGTGTACGCGTAACATCAGCACCTTTCTCCAGCGAGTCCGCCCTCGCTCGTGATCCTCAGGAGCCCGGGCGTTGGACGGTTTTCCCTTGCGTAGCGCCCGCCGTATACACGACCCGAAGCCTACGTCGGCGGCCAGCTCTGCACTGCAATATCATGTGCGCCCGCATCCGCAATCCTCCCGCGTGTCCCTACGAAGTGTAGAACAACGTGACACGGTCCATGCACGCCGCGTACGGCCGCGAGGTATGTCAATCTCGCATCTTTACTGTGCTGAGCGCATCACCGCCCGTACGCGCACAGGACATTACTGCTCTGACGAGCTTGTACTGCATGGGAGCGCGGACGACAAAGTCTGTAAAACGAGGACGATTTTGTTCAGGGATATTGGGCATCATGCCACTGTCGGGGTTCCGCGCCCCTGCATACGACATATCCCACTCGTCGCAGACTACGCATACTCTCTGGGTGTGCCGCTACTGAAATATTGGGGACACGAGGTCGTGCGCGTTGTCCGAGAACATCAGTCTTGTCGAAACGATGTACCGCGGTGTTTTTTTACACACACATTATCTATAGTAAATGCGAAACATATTTGTCACTAATGATGGCGGAGGTACTACGTGGGTGTCCGAGCGGAGTTGCATTATGAGGAACAAGCGAGTAAAGTTCTGAGATGACCGAAATCCAATGGCACCTGGGAGTCGAACTTAATACTATGAGATGATGATAGTTCGTGCGCGTGATGAGTAGGAGGATCAGACACGAGCTCGAGTAAGACTGTGAACCCGTAACTGTACCTCTTCGCCGTTAAGGCGAACCCTCTCCCCATCCCGTCACTTCGTAATCTTCTGCGCTGTAATATTCTTCCACATCATCGTACTCAGAGTTCGTCACATCCTAGGGCTCCGAACCCGCAGATATGGAGGGTACCGCAGCAGGCTCACTGTCGCCGTCGCTGAGATCAAAACGACCGGCTGCCTCACGATTGGCGCCATCGTCGCTGCGATCGTCGTAGGTGGCGGAACAATCTGCGTTGTCGGGGTCACGGCAAGCAGAGCTGAGACAAGAGTTCTCCCGAGGTTCCCTAGCGGCGCTGCGTTCGTCCTCGCTGAGCTCCACGATGGTGATATACATCCTACCACAAATACGCAGTGTCAGTACAGCGCCACGACGATACATTCCGTAGCGACACCGATGCGTACTTTGTCTGCATGGTGAAGGTGAGATCCGCAATTCGCTGCGTCCAAGTTGAGACCGGAGCTGAGTCGTTGTCCCGCCCGATGCGCTCAAGTCGCAACGTTGGATCAAAGTCGATGCCCGCCGGAATCGACGCGGGGTGCTTGTCTGAGGACCAGAAGCCGCATGGCATGTGGCCGTCGCAGACCGCATCCCGTCGGTGGTCGCCGTCGTCGGCTTGAAGCATGAAGAACCAGAGCGGTGGGGGCGCTTGCTCCGCAGCGGACGCGGCGGTCGTCTCCGTATAGTAAACGTATTCCGAAACTGGACAACCTGTATCAGCGACGACAGCGAGAAAGAGACGAAGTACACGCACGTATACCGATGCTCTTGTACCCGACAGCAGGGAGGTCCGATGCCGAACGCAGTAGTCTCAGGACAGCGTTTCCGCGGTCTGAGATGTGCACCCTTTGTCGGAAGAGATACGTCGTGCCCAAGGAGACGCAGTTGAATTGATATCTGAGCGACTTGCCTCATAAGCAATCGCTCGATGTGGGAGCAGCTCAAAAGTTACTCTCACCTTCCACCGTGTACCGCTTATACCGCCTAACTCGAAATCGACGCACATCTCGACATGCTCCAAGCCAGGGACGTCGAGCGGCTTGTACATGCGCATCTTCTGGGAGAAATACTCTTCGCCCTCGTCATCCGCGTGTCGAGATAGCTCGGCGAGGGCGTCAGGGGGTGAGCTTTTCCATAGATTTATGTATGGTACCCGCTCGAACGTCTGGTCGACCTCGAGCCAGGGGCTTCGTGCAGGCAACACCGACCAGGGCTTGTCATCGTGGTTACGCCCCACCCACGCTCCGAGCGTATACTGAGGACGATCTAGAGCACCTTGCCAGTGCCGCCAACTCATGCGCTCTGGCAGGTGATTACTACTCGCCGCGAGGCCGGATAGGATTCGAGAGAACCAACGGCGTACGACTACGTCTGTGCTTGCACGTGTGATGGGGCAAAACTCTGAAGCAATAGTCATGAGTTGCGCTTTGAGTCGACAGTGGGGAGGGCATACCGTTCCGCAGGCGCATCCTTTCTTCCCGCACTGCGGGAACAGATACCTTTGCCAGTACATGCTGAGTGAAGTCAGGTGAAAGAGGAGGGGTACTCACTCCACGAAGTTCTTCCAGTACGAGAGGATCCCGGGCCCATTTGAAGCGGCCTCCATAGCGGTGATCAAACACAAGTTCACTCAACTTGAACGTGTATTTGTACACGGGCGTGAGGCTGAATAATTGTGATTGTAGAGTAGTTAGTAGGCCGCAGGGATGTGCGGCGCGTAGGGCTTACCCAATAAGTGACCGGACATAGCAGCTGGCGCAATTCCATCATTTCCAGGTGGTCGACGGCCATCTGCCGACAGAACGATCGATCCTTCGCATTCACTATTTCTCTGTCTGAATTGAGAAACACGTACACACATCTCCGATGTCTGGCAGGGATTCATCAGCTGCTTGAGGGAAAGTGTGTGCCGAATATGCGTACCATCTGTATGAACACGCGAAGCTTCTTCGTTCCATGAAAGGAGCTCAGATAGTTTATGAATGGATGATAGTCTATGCTCGAGCACGTTAGTAGTCCATTTCTGTCGCCATGATGTTCGTAACTCGTCGGCGTACCTTCTGTGACGATGTACGAAGCCTCGCCTGGGTCTCCCGGGCGGGAATATCCCAGCATCGCCAATATATACGGATGACTTAGGAAGAACGTTAGCGGGGTCTTCACTTGCATAGCAAAACACTGGTGGTCTTACTACGTTTGCTTCGCCGATTTGACGGCCTCTACGAAGCGGCCGTTGTCGCCATCGGGGTACATATGAACAATTACCTGTGAGCCGGAAAGCTCGCCGGCCGCCTTCACAACGGCGCGGTAGCGAATGACACGTGCGGTCTGTAGCTTCGTAGGCACGTTGCCAAGGTCGTGTTCATCTGCTTGGCGCGGGAACGCCCCCAGAGGATTTGCCTCGCTAATGGGTTCTACGAGGTGAAGGTTTTCTTGGGCAAAGAGCCGGAACTGGCAATCCGGTTGTTAGCACAACGGATGGCAGTAATTTGGGAGACTAGACCTCACTCTACCGTCAAACGTCGCGCCGCCGCTGATGCGCTGCGCAAGATCTAAAACACCAGACCGGATGTTTCTTGTCTCTCCGATGGGTATGTCTCCCACGCGCGCGGAGTCCTCGACGTGCTGCAGAAGGCGGGTGTTGGAGCTCGCAAGCGCATTCAACCTTTGCTGGGTCTCAACCCCAGTTTGCATCTGAAGTCGTGGCGTGTTCAGCGAAATGACAAGCTCAGGACACAAACGACCGTCAAACTTACAACAAACAGTCTGATGGCATCCTCGAGCTGTATGCTCAGCTTTCGGACCTCCTCAGCGATGTCCATATGCCGCCACAGGAAGCTCAGTGCCCGTATCTTGCGACGGCGCTTCATGAGGCTCTCTATGTCGCGCAGTGTGCTTATGGTCAGAGATACGAGCCGTCAGACGAAGCACAGCGCGAAGGGGCGACGATCGGCGTACCAGAGCAGTAGCTCGATATGCTCCTCTGCTGTTATTGATGGTGCGGAGTCGCGGCCGCTTTGCTTCATTTGGTCGTAGACCCTCAACGAGAAGTAAGCGGCTCGTTCAGCGAGTAATCGGCATTCATCGCGAATGTCTTCGATTTCCTGCGTGACACGCAATCATCATGGCTGAGTGTTCGTTGCGACAAGGGTTTAACAAACATACCTTGGCTTTCTCAGCAATGGTCAGGGCGATCTTGAGAGCGGCGCTCAGTCCTGGGAAGGGGATCCCGGCCGACACCTCCTTTGCCACCCGCAAAAGAACGAGGAGAGGTTCCATGGGCGGCATGCTAGGAGTGCGTAACAGCGGCACGAGGTGGAGGGAGCGGGAACCAAGCCGCAAAGTGGAGTGGGCGGACTCTCAGGCCTCAGGATCAATACACATGGGGCTCCGTACGTGAGCCCGTGTACTAGAAGCCCGGGAGTGCCTGCGAGCACCATCTCGTGGGAGGGTCCGCTATGTTGATGTATTCTCGATGGATCCGCGCAAAAATGCCACGGCGACGCGTTAGGAGTGGGTTGGATCTGCGCATCTTCTGGAGTTCAAGGTACGAAGATTTCAAGCTCTGGAGCTCAATTCCCGAGCACGTTCAAAACGGCTCCAATGCGAGTTGGCTGGCAGTGAAATTCGACCAATGCATCGCAACGTCACTATCTGGTCGCATGTTGAAAGTTTCTCTGTGCTGAATGTAGCTCAGCAAGCGTGTGTTTGGGAAGAAAGACGTAGATAGTAGCGCAGTCATGTGGAGGAAAGGAAGCACGACGAGGTAATGGGAGGAGGAAGTAGTCGGAGTTTAATTTCCTGGGCGAGGATAGCTGGCCGACTTACAAGGACACCGCCACCCGTCATAGCAGGCTACTGTACCTCACGACGGGGTTCGAAATTCAAATCATGATCAGCATTCCGCTGCCGTTTTACTCTGCTATCTCGCACTAGAGGTGTATGCGGGACAGCCCTCATTAAATATGGGAATGGTGATCTTGGGTATACATGCGATCATACATTAGTATCATTATACCTTAGAAACAGAACATCATCGTGGTTCGTCGCTCAGTATACCACGCACGCCCCCTTGCCCTCCCACTGGTCCCAATGCGGGAGGGCCTCCTGAACGATGAAGTGCGCGATGTCGCGCCGCGAGACCGTGTATCCACCATCGACCTCGCCCGCGACGGCCTTGTATGGCGCCTTGCCCTTCTTCGGGCCCCGGTCCCCGAGGCACTCGCCGTCCGTCAGCAGCGACGGGCGCACGATCAGCACCCGCCGGTACCCGCCCTCCGCAGGGAGACCGGGGAGCGCCTCCCATCCCGTGGGGAGAATCGCGGGCTTGACGGCGGGCTGCGTCCAGGGCACCCCCATGCAGTGCGCGAGCACGCGCTCGGCGCCGTACTTGTCGTCGTGCGGCGCGCCGAGCGCGAGGCTGTAGAATGCGCGGAGGGCGGCGGGGAGCGTGGCGTGCGAGGTGGGCGTGATGCCGCGCGAGGTGATGGCGACGAGGCGCGGCTGGGCGGAGGGCGCGCGGAGGGATGCGGGGATGGTGCGGAACAGGTTGAGGAGCGAGCGCGTGCAGAGGTCGGGCGTGGCGAGTACGATGCCTTTCTTGAGACTCAGGTTGGGCAGGCCGCCTGAGGGACAGGTGAGCGTGGCGCAATGAGGAGTATGCGGGGGTAGTACGTACCGATGCTGAAGAGAACGAGGTCGAGAGTGCCGTTGCCGTGCTCGAGCGCGGCTTCCCAGCCTTTCTGGACATCTTCGAGGTTGGTGCCGTCGCCCTTGACGAGGCGCACCTTGCCGTCCTTGATGTAGGACTGGAGCTTCGCGTCTTCGTCGAACACAGACGTGTTGCGGAGGAGGAAGGTGATCGACGCGCCCTGCTCTGCACGCCTCTATCAGCACCAGTCACCATGTTCTGAGGGGTTGAAGCATACCGAGGAGCCGGACGGAGGCATAGTAGCCGATGTTCTTTGACCCGCCAAGGACGAACGCGTGCATCTTGTGATGGTTGTGTGGGGGTAGGGGAGTGCTGAATGTGAATGATTGTGCAGTGGTCGACCGCGACAGGAGGGATTTATACCAGTACCCATGAACGTCCGCCGGCCGTGAACAGGGGCATGACTCTACTTTTTGCACCGCATCTTGGAAGTGCCGATCGCCAGGCGCGCCAGGCGCAGACGGTGTAGCGCGGTGTTAATTACGCGCAGCGGACCCATCGCATATAAACTGCGAGGAACTGCGCTATGATAGCGTCTCACAACAGGGAAGGGTGGCGGCGTAGCGCGTATGCGCTTTCGACAATCTCACCTCCACAGCCACCACACCACCGACGGTCGATAACACATGCACCATGGCAAGCCCAAGGAGGCTCCCGGACGTCCTCGAACATAGCAAAGGTTTAGTGGACGTAAATGCGGACGAAAAGAGCGCCGAAGTCTGCATATAACGCCACCACGCGCATTCGACCGCCACGCATAACTTTCAGCCAAGCAGACGGGAAGGTATTCCCGGTCCGAGTGGACGTGCACCGAGTAGTTGTCAAGATCCTACTCATCCCTCGTACTCGGCTACAACGGCAGACGCACCAGTGCAGGTACGGCGTGCTGTGCCGTGATGACGACCTGCGCCGGCGAGATGGCACGCAGCAAAGTACTACGCGCAGCCTGCAGGTCAGATGCGGATCCACGAGAAGCAAACGTTGACCTACGTGGCGCTGCGCCGCACAAAGTTCTTCCGACGGGAACATCATCCGAATCGAGGTTGTGGATGCTGATACACGCAGTCGTACCTGTGCGTTGACGGCGTTCATCAAGTCGGACCGGGCGAAACGTCCTGTGTTGCGAGCTCGTGATATGGCCGCCGGGGGCAAAAATGGGAGGGGGAGTTGTAGCCGTTCTCGTAGAGCTCTTCCAAACTTACCGCAGGCTGTCGAAAGTCATGTCCGCAATAGCAGTTGTTGGGTGCACGCTTATGTGGACTGAAGTTTTGCCGCGGTCAACCGCAAGTACGATATTCTACTCCGGAGTGGATACAAGTAGTTTTCTAGTGGTGGGACTGCTTGGCGATCTGAGCCGCATAGGGGTTGCGGGGGTCGTTGCGGAAGCCCTCCGCTGGCGACGTGTCGCGTCAGAGGTCGCACTGATGACAGCCGAGATGAGAACTCACATTTGACACCCATGTCCTGCGCCTTTCCAACCAGGAAGAACGTCAACGCGCTGGCGGCGACGAAAGGCCACATCGGCTTAGCGACCTGAGTGAAAGAGGTGTGGAGGTGAGACGGCTGCAGCGGGAAATGTCGGGACGTGGCATACGGGAGTAGGCCACTTGCGGAGACCGAGGAAGCTCATAGTGGACGATGTCTATTTCCGTGAGTCAACCAGAGTATGTGTTTCCGACGTCGAGAATACGCACGACGAGAAGAACTGGAGTGGTGGGTGGGAGGACGAAGAAAACGCAGGCGGGAGGTTACGGGATGACGCCGGTACCGTGTCTCCGATTACTTATCGGGGTTGAAGCCGTTTGTAACGAGTTTACAAACATTTACTTACCCTATAAGGCGAGTCTTTCAAATAAGTAAGCTCGGCCCGGGCGCCTTGTACACCCCCAGGCGCGCAGCTGAGGACTCGAGGACGACCACGACGTCTAAGAGGGTGGCTTGCTGTTTGCTGGAGGAACTCATTCCAATCTTGCTACAGAGCTAGGCCATAATTGTCTCTGCGGTTCTCTTTGCCTGCGTGCGCACACACCAACGGCGCCAGTCACCCCTTGCTCGAGTCCGCTGCCACTGCAGTTGGCGTCTCGACGTCCTCCACCACATACCACTCCTACACGCCCCACGCAAAGCGTAGTCAGCGACAAACGGCCTCATTGACCTCCCAGAATGTCTCAGCCAACCTCCGCCAATGCCGCCCCCGCAGTGAGCACCCTGCATCTGTCCCGGAAGGCGCGCTCACTCACCTTCTGCGCGCCCTTGACAGTGGAGGCAATTCCCGTTCTTTGACGTAGTTCCCGTGAAGGACATTCACGATCTGGGAAGTGCCCCTGAAGTGTTTCAGGTACGTGCATTCTGCTCCTCTGTCCCTCTGCGGCCTTGACCAATGCATGCAGAAAACCCCAGAAATCTCTACCATTGCGACGTCCTCGGCTGGCCTCGTGGTAGCGGACATTCATGGCAGCATCTACCTCGTCAACCGCGACTTTGAGATAGGGAAGAGCTGGATTGCGCATACGGGCGGGCGGGTCACCCATATGGCGGAGCGCAAGGGAATCCTCATCACGCTTGGGGTAAGTCGATTCGTCTTAGTTCGTATCTGTCGACTCAAGCGAGAACGGGACAGGAAGAGGACACGGCGCGCCACCCATTCCTCAAGATATGGGACCTGCAGAAGTTCGACAAGAAGACGGGGGCGCCGCTCCTACTGCGTGCAGCGAAGGTACAGAGCGGTAATCGCCCACATCCGGTGAGTCTAGGCATGCCCTGGTACGACCGCGGTATTGAAACAGCGCGCAGGTTTCTGCCATTGCGCTTTCCGCGTCATTGGCGTACCTTGCCATCGGTCTGGGCGACGGAACAGTCATTCTATATCGACATCTCGACCAGTCGATATACTCCGCGTCAGGCTCGCTCAGCACGCTCCCCAAACCTCGCATCATTCACGAGTCGCCGACGGAACCTATCACAGGCTTGGGATTCCGCGAACCGACTGAAGATAGCCCAAACGTGCACCTCTTCATCGTCACGACGAACAGAGTGTTGTGCTACCAGGCTTCGGGGAAGGGTAGCGGAGGCACTCCGACCGTCGTAGACGAGATCGGCGCGGGTCTTGGGTGTGCGACTATGGATTGGAAGGCGCGCGAGGTCGTCGTCGCGCGCGACGAGGCAATATATCTGTGCGGCACGGAGAGTCGCGGCCCCTGTTATGCATACGAAGGTGAGAGCTCTCTTCGCTGCGACTGCGGACGTATCTCACAAGGATACAGGCCCCAAGTCGAGCATATATACCCACCGGAACTACATCGTCATTGTATCGCCTCCCTTCACCCCCTCCGCATCAGCAGCCTCTGCGACTGTTAGGAATTTTGTCGCTAAGAGCGGTGGGCCGTCCGGCTCGGACATCACCAAGCTCACGGTGTTCGACCCCGAGAATCAGTATGTCGCGCACTCGGGCACGTTCACGGAGGGCGTCCGCGAGGTATTTTCTGCGTGGGGTGAACTGTACGCCCTGTCGAATGATGGCAAGGTTCGCACCAATTCCGTTCTGCTATGGGTGACAAACGGTCTGACGGATTTCTCGCAGCTGCTGTGTCTCGAGGAGAAACCGACTTCGGAGAAGCTCGACATGCTGTATCGGAAAGGATTGTACACGCTCGCGCTAAACATTGCAGAGACGCAGAAGTTGGATGAGGCCCACATCGCGGACATTCACAAGCAATACGGCGACCACCTCTATACGAAGGGCGACTACGATAACGCGATGCAGCAGTACATCCAGACGATCCGCCATGTACAGCCGAGCTATGTCATCCGCAAGGTAAGGTGCCTTCGATTGGCGCATCTCGACTCTAATACTCATCATCGAGTAGTTCTTGGACGCCCAGCGGATACACAATCTCGTGACGTACCTGCAGGAGCTGCATTCTCTCGGACTAGCAAACTCGGACCATACGACGCTGCTTCTCAATACCTACACGAAGCTAAAGGACGTCGCGCGCCTCGACAGCTTCATCAAGCGCGAATCGTTGCGCACGTCCTCTGAAGGTGGAAAGGACGAGTTGCCGTTCGATCTCGATACCGCCATCCGCGTGTGTCGCCAGGCGGGATACTTCGAGCATGCCTCCTACTTGGCGAAGAAGTACGAGCGGCATGAGGACTACCTACGGATACAGATTGAGGACGCGGGAAACTACAAGGATGCGCTGACTTATCTTCGCCGACTGGGTGCTGAAGCTGTGAGTGCAGGTAGACTGAAGTCTCCTTGCCCACTAATCGCGTGAGCTGTGTAGGCGGAGAGCAACCTCGCGCGGTACGGGAGAGCGATGCTGGACAACTTGCCAGACGAGACGACCGATCTCTTGATCGACATCTGCACGAGTCTAACCCCACTCTCGATTGAGGCAGACGAAGAAGAGGTTACTCCTGCCAAACAATCTGGCGGCGGCACATCATACCTTTCCTATCTGGCGCTTAACAGGGCGTCGGTAGCCGAGCCTAACACGCAGACCAACGGTACGAAGGCTCCAGAGCCCATCGCCCGACAGGACTCCGTGCATGAAGCCTCACAGACGTCGACGCCCCCACCGGCGACGCCTACCACTGCGACCGCCGCCAAACAGCTTGCAAGCAGTGTGAAGCGTCCGTCCCCGCGTCTGTACTTCGCACACTTCGTCGACCATCCCCAACACTTTGTACGCTTCCTCGAGACCGTCTCGCGCAAGCGGTGGGGCCAGACCGTCGAGAACACGTCCGAGCCGCTCGCAGTCGAGGCCGACCCGGACGCAGACGCACAGGCGGAGGCTCGCGACCAAGCCGCGGTGTGGAACACCCTCTTCGAGCTGTACCTCGCGCAGCCCGGCGGCGGCGATGCGAAGGCGCTCGCGGTGCTGCAGAACACGCGGCTGCCGTACGACCCGACGCACGCGCTGATCCTGTGCTCGACGCGCGCGTACACGCCTGGGCTCGTGCTGCTGTGGGAGCGCATGGGCATGCAGGAGGACGTGTTGCGGTTCTTCATGGACCGCGAGCTGGAGGGCGACGCGGACGCGAGTGCGGAGGTCGTCCGCCGCCTGGACCAGTATGGGCCTGGGCGGCCGCAGCTGTACCCGCTGGTGCTGAGGTTCTTGACGAGCACCCCGGCGCTGCTTGCGAAGCATAGGGAGGACGTGCGGCAGGTTTTGAAGGTGATCGATGAGGAGAAGTTGATGCCTCCGGTTAGCGTTGTGCAGGTGTTGAGCAGGAACAGTGTCGCGAGCGTCGGGCTCGTGAAGGAGTGGCTGATGTCGCGGATCAAGAGCGCGCGGGAGGAGGTTGACACCGTACGTCTGCTCGAAAGCTGGCACGTCTGATGTGCTAACCCCTGTGCAGGACCAGAAACTGATCACATCGTATCGCACGGAGACGGAGGCGAAGCTGCGGCAGGTCGAGGAGCTCTCGGACCCAGACCACCCGCGCGTGTTCCACGTCACGCAGTGCTCGGCGTGCCAGGGCGGCCTCGACCTCCCCGCGGTGCACTTCATGTGCAACCACAGCTACCACCAACGGTGCGTCGACCGCACAGGACCGAAAATGTGTACGCTGACGGCTGACGACTCGGCGCAGGTGTTTGCCGCAGAACGAAACGGAGTGCCCGAACTGCGCGCGCGAGCACGGGATCATCCGCGAAATCCGGCGGAACAACGAGCGGCTTGCGGACCAGCACGAGCTGTTCTTGTCGGAGGTGCGCGAGGGCGGTTTAGACGCGTTGTCGACGGGGTTCAGTCGCGGAGTGTTGAATCTGTCCAGGGTGGAGGAGGCGGGCAGTCTATGATCACTACGCGTATACCAGGTTACGCGTCGTCACTCATTGTTCTGAGATACATACGCTATCACATAATTGAATGTGCTACAGTTTTTTGGCGCGCCGCTGTTCCTTCTTCCTTGTCGGGCAACTCGGTGTGATCGCATAATGGTTGTCCTAGTCCTAGACTTCGAGTTTGAGACGCTCAAAAGCGCAGTCGGTCGTCCCCTCAATTAACCTCAGAACCACTCGTAGCGTCGTGGCTCCGCAACTCCTCGAGAGCCATCAACTCGTCCGCGGTCAGTCGGAGGATGCATGCGGCGACCCTGCAAGCACATTGTTAGTGCAAGGCCGCGGGGGCAATATTGGCACAAGCCTCCCGCAGAGCGTACTTGGTCTTAATGGTGAGTGTGAGATCACCGATAGTCTGTGTCCATGTAGATAGTAGCGCCAGGGTGTTCTCATCGACGCGCTCGTACTGTGGCGTCGGATCGAAGACGATGCCCTCGGGAACACATTCCGGGTCCTTCTCCGACGACCAGAACCCCCATGGGATATCCCCCCGGCGGAGAACATCTGGGTCTTGACCGTCAGGTTGCGCAGCGAAAAACCAAAGCGGCGAGGTCGGCCCCGTCACGGTCTGCTCTGGGATGTGCACAGCCCGTGACGCAGTCGTCTCCGTATAAGAGATATAGCTGTCCACTGCGCGACCTAGGTAAGTAACGACAGGTAAACAAACGAGCTGCACGAACCTATGCCGATGCTCTTGTACTCGAGCGCCGATACATCGGGCAGCGAACTCACCATCCTTGAGAAATGGGCAGAGCGTGCCGACTTCTCCACGCGCTGCCGAAAAAGCAACGTCGCACCCAGAGGCATGCAGGACAATTGATATCTGAGCGTAGAAGGTTAGAATGAGTAACATGAGCGTGATAAGTATGTAGTTGTCTTGACCTCTTCCACTTCATCCCATCGGTGCGGAGCCGCTCCACGTCGACGCACATTTCGCCAAGATCCGTGTCAGAGACGTGTAGGTATTCAGCCTTCGCAATCTTCTCGTCGTTGTAGTTGACGCGCTCGTGATCTAACCGGTGAGACGCGACGGAGAAGGGCGCGACTATGAGTGGTGTTCGCTCATGGGTTGTGTTGACGTGGAAGCAGTTATCCGGTGAAGAGATAACGGACCATCTCTCACGAAGATGATTCCTTCCCACCCACGTCCCGATTGGATACTGGGGCCCATGCGCGGCCGGTTGCCAAGGATTCCACAAGATGCGCTCCGGGCTGGTACTCGCTGGGGATGACTTCCGGATCCGCAAGAACCAGTAGCACGCCACGCGAGCGTCGCTCGCACATGCAGCAGCACGGAGACCTAAACAGCTCGTCAACAATGTCGCGCCAATTGTCGATACCGTCCATGCCGTACCGTCAGCCAGGCCCATCCTTGACATCAACACAGCGGGGAAAGACGTCATCTATGTATGGACATGGTAAGAGTGAAGTCCAGAATAGCCCTGAGAGAAAAGAAACTGACGCTCCGAACGCTCACTTCCCCGCCCTTTAGGAGAGCAGGAGCCCATTTAACGCGTCCTCCGTACCGGGGATCAAAAACGAGGTCGTCTGATCGGATGTTATATCGTTTGATCCCGTGAACCTGCATAAGTATAGAAGGTTAGCAAGTACAGGCGGGGACTGGGGTAAGGGGTCCATTTTACCCAGTAATACGCCGGAGAAAGTAGCTCATAGAGTCCCATAGTTTCCAAATGGTCGATAGCGACCTACGTGCGGTACAGTCAGAATCAATCACATAGATCGATATTAAAGCGAAAACTCGCGCACACAAATCTGCGCCATCTGCAGTGAACTCGTCAGTGTCGTTCTAGCGGAGCTGCACTGAATTTTACGCGCCATCTGCAGTCTCTCCCGCAAGAAAGCAATGCCACAGAAGGATTTCAAATATGTCTGGAAAGGACAGTAGTCTGTATCCGAGTAGCGAGACCGACTCGGACGTCAGTGACACACCAAGATAGTACCCGCATTTGCATACCTTCCGTTACGAGGTATGAGGTCTCGCATACATCACCAGGGCGAGAGTAACCCAGCACCGACAAGATATACGGATCGCTGTGCACATACGTCAAAAGAACACGGAGCTTGATAGATATTTAAACCTTACCAAAACCGCTTGGCCGACTTTATAGCCTCCATGAACCGGGGATCGTCGCCCTTGGGATACGTACGTACTACGACCTGTCTTCCGCAGAGATATCCGGACGCTTTTACAACGGCGCGATAGCACAGCACACGTCCTATCTCGTGCGTTTGCGACGCAGCTGAAACTACGAGTAGATCTTTGTCTTCTTGGTGCTTAGGAATGTGGAATTCCCCGTGGTCGACAGGATCCAAAAGGTCGATATCTTCTCGTGCGAAGTATCTGAACTACCAATAAAACAATTATCAGCTACGAACGGCTCGTACCAGGATGCAAGTGCCGTCTTACACTGCCGTCAAACATACTGGCGCCGCTAAGATGCTGGGCCAGCTTCGACATATCGACGCGGATGCCTCTGGTCTCCTCGACGACGATCTCTCCGACGCGTGCGGAATCCTCGACGTGCTGTAGCACGCGGACGTTCGCATTCACCAGCACGTCTATTTTCTGATCGATGTCGAGGCCGGTTTGGATCTGTAAAGAGCTTCGTGAGTAGAAGACCCGATATAGCTATACTTGGTGATTGCGCGCCATGAAAAGCTTGATAGTATCTTCGAGGTCGTCCCGTAGTCTATAGACCTCTGCGGCGATATCGCGATGTCTGCCAAGGAACCCAAGGAGACGCTTCTTCCGACTGCGTTCCATGAGGTTCTCGATGTCCTGCAAGTTGCTTGTATTCATTGACCTGGCCGTCAGATATACGACTCAATAGGCTGCGGAGACTGCATGACGCACCAGAGCAGACGCGTAACGCGCTCCCTGGTACCTATAGAGCCAGCATCGGTGTCGCATTCCTTCAGCTGATCATAGACCCCCAGCGAGAAGCGGGCCGCGCGCTTGGCAAGCGATCGACAACCTTCTCGGGTATCTTTGACCTCCTGTCAAGGTAGTAGTGTCATCTACCAAAGAACAGAAGGGCAAGGACGAGGTAGACGTACCTTGGCTTTCTCCAGAATGCTCACAGTGAGCGCGAGGACGGTGCTCAGCCCTGGAATAGGGATCTCGCACGACACCTCTTTCGCTATCCGCAAGGACATCAGGAGAGCGTCGATGGTCGACATGGCAGGAGGCTGAAGACAAAGAGGGCAGATACAATATGTGGTGGTGGAGATGGAATTTTGGGGGTGACCTGAGGAAAGGGACGATGCGGTGCTGAAGGAGGATATCCGGATATATAAATATCACGGCACACACGCTGGGAAGATATCCAACCTAATTTGTAGAAGCTGTGATATATAGTGCTACTCATGAAGAGCGGTTGTATGATGTAACTTGCGGACCTATCCAGTATACGAGGCAATAAGAGGCATCGACGCGCGAGATGCATGATGGTGAGGCTCAAGGCAAATCACCCGGAGCGGTTATGACGTCGACCAAATGCTTTCCGACATACTCAACATACACCTCGATCAGGGATACTTGCCGACAGTACATAAAAGCCATGTCGCAGTTAGACGGCGAGAGTACTGCGATACTAGGGAAAATAAGAGAAGAGAGCAGGTAGTGGTACCGGGACAAGTTCAAACGCGGCCGTACCGTGTAGCGCGGCGCAACTCGCAGATCGGCTAGCCAATCCCAAACCGCCATGAGCACTGCCACTCATGCACTCGCCCCCCACCTCTCGCCATCCTATCTGAGTCTGAGAACGTTGTGGCTTGGAGGCACACTGGTGCACTGCTCTACAAGAGCCGAAGTCCTAGATCTCGAGTACTACAACTATATTTTGTAGGAAGATATTCACAGCAGAGGTAAGCCTAGATGCGGCGCGAGGACTTCGCGCACGAAGTCATCGATGCCGTGCATGTGCACGCCGAGCGCGCGGACGTTCTCATCTGGGAGGGCCTTCGTGCCGTACATCCCCGCCTCGTTGTAAAGATGGAACATGATATCGCGGTCGGGCACGCCCGTCGTCGGCAGCGCGTGGTACGCGCCGTCCTTGCCTGTCACTGACCAGGAGTGAGACACGCTCACGTTGAAGACTGTAAGAGGGACGTACATTTCTTGACGCATGCGAGGATGTCGAGGGGTGTGAGGCGGGCGTTGGCGCAGTAGAGGTATTGGTGGTTTAGGGAGTGTTTGCGGACGTCCCAGTGGTCGAAGACGGCTTTTGTTACCGCGCCGAGGTCTTTCTGGACGTAGAGCATCGCCACTGCATTCCTTGTTAGTAGACGAGTTCAGGAGGTACGACCATGATACGCACGTTGTGTGGTTTCCTTGATGATGGCTTGATGGAACTCGACGCGGTCCAACTCGCGGTTATACCGCATGTGCGAGCGGAACACCATGTTCTCGTAGAAGTTTCCGGTATATAGAAACACGGCTGGGCAGCCCTTTGCTCGAATGTAGTCGTCGACATGATATTTCCCTAACATTTGTCAGCGTGCGGACGATACAAACCATGCAGTCGAAGTTACCTTCGTAGATTTGGGACACGAGACGACCTCCGGATATCGCGTGCGAGCTGGGGAGAGTGCTCCATACGAAACACTGTACGCCGTTCGCGAGAGCGGCGTCGACTAGGTTCTTGCCTTGACGCTCCTCGCTGCTGGGGTCGTCTTTGATCTTCTGCATACGCAAACATACGCGTAAGAATCAGAAGCGATTGCAGACGCTCAAGGGATGCGCATACATACCGAGTCGTAGAAGTTAGTGACGCCGAACACGCCCCAACACCCACGGAGCGCCTCGTGCAAGTCAGATGGGACTGTGAGGTCTGCGCGCACTACTTCCGCGCCGAGCTCTGCGAGGCGTCGGGCTGGGGCCGACTGAGGGTCTCGCGTCAGGGCGCGGACGCGGTACACGTCAGGGTGCTGAAGCAGGAGCTTCGCGACCGAGCCGCCTGCGAATGGTTATGCTCGGTGTCAGACCAGAGATTGTGAGATATGCGGCGAGGCGCACCTTGGTTGCCTGTTGCCCCGCAGATGGCGATAAGTCTTGGCATGGGGTGCGTGTTGCGAAGTATGCGATTCAATGCATAAGCTAGATGTCCAGTTCTTATATAGGGGCAATTGTCTTCGTATCCAAGAATAGCCGGTGGGGAATCGTCCCCCTACCCATGGGAAATGGAGAAGACCGCGGGCAGTCGCACTTCGCGAAGGTCTGCGAGTCAGCACCGCTGGTCCTCTTCAGGTACACATGAGCACGCATTTGGTAGACGCGATAGAGATTGGAGGGGCTTACCTGAGCCCCCGAGGTGCGATGACGAGCGGGACCACTAGTAGGCTCGAAACCGGTCATGGCGGCCGTGTAGATATCTAGAACTCGTCGAAGCGCAGTTAGAAGCGTGTGCCCCCAGTTCCAGAAAAGTATCAGCGGAAAGAGTCGTAGACAGATGCCTGACTGTACGGCTCATCTGACCGCAATACGCACCGCTGGTCCGCCTGACCGTCGATGACGAAGACTGAGACGGTGCAAGTCTCGCAGACATGCCGCTACGTCTATCAAAGAGGCCCAAAGGTGACTTCGGTATGTATATGAACATTTCCTAGCCAAGACGATGAGAGGTTCGAGTCGTAGTCCCTTACATGCACCGAGTCGTGATTTGGAGGCTGTAAACGGAGTCGTTGGCCCGAGCCTGTCGCTCGCATGCTTCACGGTAATTCTAGCGTCTTTTGAACGATAGTTTAGGTACTCTTTACAGCTGTGGCTTGCTATGGTCGAGTCGCTGGGTCACTAAATTCGTTCAGCAAGGGAGCGTAGAATAGACCAATCGCCGAGGTGGAGCAAAGAAAGTGATAACAAGAACTTGTGCACCGTAGCAAGTTCCAGCAGTATTCGCTGAGACTGTCAGGAGACGAGAGTGAGCAGTAGGCACGCGATTGCGGACAGAGAGAGCTCGAGTAGAAAGGAGGAAGGAGGAATGAAGAGGCCTGAAGGCTCCTGAAGGGACGGACCGGAAGGGCCCGAGGGAGAGGCACAGCCACCACGTGGGATATCGAGCGAGCGCTTAGGGCGTTGGTCGCGTCTCGAGCGCGACTTTGTCTGAGCGCGACCGTCTCTCCTCAGCCACACCCTCTCTGTCTTCTTCCACTGTGTCTGGCGACGATGCCGCTCATCCGCATCGAAGTCTGCGACTTCAAGTCTTACCGCGGCCACCAGGTCATCGGCCCCTTCCGCAACTTCACCTCCGTCATTGGCCCAAATGGCGCGGGCAAGTCCAACCTCATGGACGCCATCTCTTTCGTTCTCGGAGTCAAGTCTGCCCAGCTCCGCTCTAGCCAGCTCAAGGACCTCGTCTACCGTGGCCGTAGACTCGCCCGAAACCCAGATGGGGAGGGCGCTGGTCCTTCTCAGCCTCAGCAGGACGACGAAGAGGAGGGCGAGGGGGAAGGCGAGGGTACGGCAACCAAGGCGTGGGTTCTCGCTGTCTACGAGGACGCGGACAAGAAGGAATGGCGTTTCCAACGAACGTGGGTTCCAGCTTGCGCATAAACGCGCGCATACATTCGTCTTCGCGTCGGCGGAGCGTGTATGCTCGCGAGCCTGTGCTAATGCTGATCCCTCCCCAGTATTTCCACGACCGGAGCGTCCGAATACAAACTGAACAACCGCGTCGTGACGTACTCCGCGTACAACGCCGCACTCATCCAGCACAACATCCTCGTGAAGGCCAAGAACTTCCTCGTCTTTCAAGGCGACGTCGAGGCCGTCGCGTCGCAGTCGCCCAAGGAGCTCGCGCGGCTCATCGACCAAATCTCCGGGTCGCTCGAGCTCGCGCCCGACTACGAGAAGGCACGCGAGGCGCTCGAACGTGCGACTGAGAACGCGACGTTCAACTTCACGAAGCGCCGCGGGATTGCGGGCGAGATCAAGCAGTACAAGGAGCAGAAGGGCGAAGCGGAACGCTTCGAGGCGCTTTGCCAGGAGCGGGTATGCCTTGCTATTATGTCTGTACGTCGTGCAATATCGCTGAGGCTTGCTATAGGACGAGCTCGTGCTCCGCCGCATCCTGTTCAAGCTCTACCACATCCAGCACTCTCTCGAGGAGCATGCTCGGGCTATCAAGGAGCAGAACCAGACGCTCGCAGGTCTACGTGCGGAGCAGCGCAAGCACGAGAAGGCGCTCGAGGACGCGCGCGCTGAGCAAGCCAGGGCGCGGTCGAACGTCATGCAGAAGGAGAAGCGTATCAAGAAGGCCGAGAAGGCCTTAGAGACCAAGGTACGCCCGTGCAGGAGGACCATTGCGTCTCGCATAATACTTAACGTACATACAGCGCCCAGACTTAGTCCGAATCGAGGCGCAGATCAAGCACGCCGAGCGGAAGCGCGAGAAGGCACAGCAGGAGCTAGAGAAGCTCCAGCAGACCGAAGCTGAGCAGCGGCGGAAGCTGCAGGCGCTACAAGAGAACCTGCAGACAGTGCAAAGAGCGGCAAACGCGGCGCAAGGTATGCAACCAAGTACCCTAATAAGCCACAGTCCCTGACATCCTCCCAGAGGTGCAGCGTCGCGCGGCGCAAACTAACCTATCGCTGAGTGAAGAGAGTTTGGAGGAGTACCGGAGACTGTAGGTCTTTATGCCGCTAACGAATTCAGCCCGTGCTAACCTTGGTGGGCAACAGTAAAGCAAGCGCGAGTATCCTTGCCGTCGACGAGAGGCAGTCGCTCGAGACGCTGTCACGAGACGAGAAGACGGCGGGCCGTACACTTGCCCAGCTCAAGGATAAGCTCGAGCAGCTGACACAGAAGCGCGACAAGTTGTCGGAAGAGGACCGCACACAGAGTCAGAAGAAGGCAGAGGTAAAATTCTCTCAAAGTTAGGTTGGAGACATGATCGCTAAAATAACTGCAGCTCGACGAGAAGGTGTCAGAGTTGGCGGCAGAGCTTAAGCGCGTGAAGCAAGAGCACGACAACCAGGAGTCTGAGCGCATGCGTATCGAGTACGTATCGTGACCATGGCGATTCAGACCCGCCGCTGAAAGTCGCACAGACAGCTTGAGAAGGAGATCAACGAGAAACTCGTTGACATCTACGAGAAGCTGACGCAGGCGGGCGTCGACCAGCAGGAGTCGCAGCGCGAGACGCGGCTGAAGGAGACGCTCGCGAACCTGCAGCGGATCTTCCCCGGGGTGCGCGGACGCGTGGTGGACCTGTGTAAGCCGACGCAGCGCAAGTACGAGACGGCGGTCGCGGTCGTGCTCGGGCGGAACATCGACGCGATCGTGGTCGACGAGGAGAAGACGGCGATCGACTGCATCGAGTACATGCGCAACCAGCGCGCGGGGCAGGCGACGTTCATCCCGCTCGACACGATCCAGGTCAAGCCCGTGAACGACAAGTTCCGCGCGTTCGCGAAGGGCGCGCGGTTGGCGGTGGATGTTATACATTATGACCCCGCGGTGGAGAGGGCGATGCATCATGCATGTGGGAATGCGCTGGTGTGCGACTCGATGGAGGTCGCGCGGTATGTGTGCTATGAGAAGGGGCAGGAGGTGAAAGGTGAGGGTCTGGATACGATAACACGGTCTGCGGAAGAGCTAATTAGAGTTATCTGCAGCTGTTACGCTTGAGGGGACTATCATCCACAAGAGTGGTCTCATCACTGGTGGTAAGAGTTCGCAGCAGAACGGCAAGAAGTGGGAAGAGAAGGATGTGCAAGGTGGGTTTTATCCCAGATACGATGTAAAGATACGATTGATCTGTTCCGTAGGCCTCCAACGCGTGCGCGACAACTTGATGGCGCAACTCCTCGAACTTGGCAAGTCGAAGCCTCGGGGCAAGGAGAGCGAGGTCCTCATCGCGGAGATCAGCCGCCTAGAATCCGCTCTGCACGTCGCGCGCGACGACCAAGTACGTACCCGCCCGTCCGAGGCGATCTGGTAGGATGCTGATCACCCGTATAGAAAGCGAATAAGACGCGGCTGTCGGGCATCAAAGACGAGCTGAAGCATGTCGAGCGCGAGATCCGCGCGCTGCAGCCGGACCTGCGCAAGGCGCAGGCAGCGTACGACAGCGTGAAGGGCAAGATCGACGCGCTCGCGGCGGTGATCAACGAGGCGGAGGACGGCGTGTTCGAGGAGTTCTGCGAGGAGATCGGGGTCGCGAATATTCGCGAGTACGAGGAGCGCCAGCTGAAGGTGGCGCAGGCGGAGAGCGAGGCGCGGCTGCAGTTCGACACGCAGATCGCGCGTCTTACGCATGCGTAGGTTTCCTCCTCGATGCAATCGCTAGCTGGAGGCGTTCTGGTGCTGATGCGTATGGCTTGCAGCATCCAGTTTGACGAGCAGCAGCTTAGGGTGACGGAGGAGCGGCTGAAGGCTTACGAGGATATCATCAAGTCTGAGGGCGAGAACCTGGCGAAGCTGGAGGACGAGAAGACCGCAGCGCAGGAGGAGATCGCAGAGGCGGAGGAGGCGATCCAGACGCTGCAAGACGATCTGAAGGCGCTCGCCGAGGAGCTCGAGGAGAAGACGAAGAAGGTGGACGAGGTCAAGAAGACGACGAATAGGGCGGGCAAGGCGCTTGACCAGGCATTGAAGGAGGTCGCCGGCCACGTGAGTTGTTCTGTAGATGCTGCATGCGCGGCGAAGTGCTGACGATATGACAGAACGACGAGATTGAGAAGCTTGGGTTGGAGCGCTCTGCGATCTACCGGAAGTGCAGGCTGGATGAGATCAAGCTGCCGCTGCTTACCGGTAACCTCAAGAACGTGCCCATGGAGGAGGTAAGGCGCCGTCGTCTTGGAGCACGAAACGCTCTGTTCTGATACTGTTGACAGAACCTCCGCGAAGAGGTGGCGATGGACGTAGACGAGGACGAGGAAGGGACCCAGCAGGTCAAGCGGGTCTCGGACTTTGGCATCGAAGTCGATTTCGACAGTCTGGACGAGGACGAGCGCGAGGTACGTTGCCGTCGTGGGTGGGGCATGATTTGAGCGATGCTCACCGACCTTCAGGACGGCTCGGCCGAGACATTGAAGGAACTCGACGAGTCCATCTCGAAAGTCAACGCGGAGATCGAGCACATGGCCCCGAACCTCAAGGCTATGGACAGGTCAGTACAGACTCGGTAGGTGTGCCGTACTGATATGATACTTTTTTAGACTCGACGATGTCGAGGCGAAGCTCGTAGAGACTGAGAAGGAAGCGGAGAGGGCGCGGACTGACTCCAAGAAGGCGCGCGAGCAGTTCAACGAGATCAAGCGCAAGCGGTGAGTCGCGCGCCGCATGTACGCCACGATTATCTGACACGAGCGGGACGCAGTTGCGAGATGTTCAACAAGGCCTACAATCACATCTCGGAGCGCATTGATCAGGTGTACAAAGACCTCACGAAGGGCAAGATGGCGCCGACTGGCGGTGTCGCGTACCTGACCCTCGAAGACAGCGAGGTACGAATCTCGTTCCCGCCAGTTAACACTCACTCTGACGGTCGTCGTAGGAACCATATACCGCCGGCATTAAGTATCATGCGATGCCGCCCATGAAACGTTTCCGTGACATGGAGCAGCTGTCAGGAGGGGAGAAGACGATCGCGGCGCTTGCTCTGCTCTTCGCCATCCACAGGTTCGTCCGCATGGTTTCAAAACTTGTAACAACTCATAACGGGCCGCACAGCTATCAACCATCGCCCTTCTTCGTGCTGGACGAGGTGGATGCCGCGCTGGACAACACGAACGTGGCGAAGATCGCGAGCTACATCCGGTCGCACGCGTCGGGGACGTTCCAGTTCGTCGTCATCAGTCTCAAGGGCTCCCTATACGAGCGGAGCAACTCCTTGGTTGGTATCTTCCGAGACCAGGACGTGAACAGTTCGCGGACGCTGACACTGGATGTGAGTTGGTCGCGCACCTCGTACATGAAGGCCCTTCTGACCGTGTCTGCAGCTCACGCAATACGACGACTGAGCCCGCCCGCTCGGGAGGTCCTTCTCGCACACCTGTGTCTTTGGTATTTCATTTTTTGTTATCATTCCTGCTATGTTGTTGTGTCTGCTTGTTGGCTGTACACTATGTATTGTACGAATCATCGTCATGAAGCCTTGCGTCAGTAGACTGTTGTATGCGTTCGTGGACGCTTGTGTCGTCAGCCGTGGCAGTGCGGCAGCCCCGGCGAGTTTCGCTCTCTTCGCCTCCTCCCTCAACTCCACGCCTAGCTGACACATCACGCATTTGCGCGTTCACGCCCCTGCGACGGCTTGTGCTGCTCGACGTAAACAGTACAGCCGATGCTCTAGCTATGATTGCGCCCGACAGCTGCCGCCGGCCTCCTTGTTCCGCTCTGGGCAATACCGCCCACCAGCCCCCAGCCGGTGCTGCAGAATTACTCGCACAGGACACAACAACACATCGAGCGAGCGATGCGCCGGAGCTGTCCGTTTAACTACTGTCATTTCCGTAGCTACCTTATTCTTGTAGACCTGACAGTGACTGAAGCGGTCGCAATGGCCCTTCCTACATAACCTGTAGCATGGGGCACAGGCAGCCCAACAGATTTCTCGTACATTTCAAACACATCCAAACCTCTCAAACGCGCCTATAAATCATGAGTAAGTCTCCAAAGCAACGTCTCATTGAGATGCAATAACTCATGACATTATTCTGGTGTTCGCAGAGTCACACATCGGCGATATCATCGTTGTGCTGGAGGCGGCGAAAATCGCTGCGGGCGCCCTTCCTGTCGCAGGCGACATAGTGGGCTCCACGCTGGATGTCGCGCTCGCGATAGCTAAGCAGGCAAAGGTATGCCTCAAATCACCCATCCCAACTGGCACTCGCTGACCAGGGACTCTTGGCATGATTCTAGAGCGTGGAGGACACGAAGGAAGACTGTCGCGCCCTCGCATTACGCGCTGCCCAATACACACTGGTCGTGTACGAGGCGCTGCGAAGTTCGGAGACAGCATTGGACGGCGATGCCACGCACGAGGGGCTCAAGAAGCTACTTAGGTGCCGTTTTACTTTATAGTTCGCGGTCGCGGGCGCGAGTGCTGATGGGTCTTCCCTCTCGTAGCACGCTGCAGGACATTCAGGGTATGATGGAGCGGAACGTGAAGAAGGGCTTTATCCGAGGCCTGTGGAAGCTCAGAAAGAGCAAGCAGCAACTCGCGACGCTTACGCAGGCGTTGGAAGACGCGATCACGAGTTTCGAGGTGAGTATGTTTGGTTTGACCTAAGCAACATTCTGCTGAGTGCGCATTGAACGGTGGGTAGTTACACACCACAATTAGGATTGATAGGCGGATGTCGAACATCGAAGACCTCCTCCAGCGGATGGCGGAGGACTTGACACGCGTTGGAAGTGCGGTTTCCTCGTTTGCGCAGGCGCAAGACGCGAAGTTCGTTGAGGTTCAAGGACAGCTGGAGATGATCATCGCAGCTACTGACCGTGTTCGTCCACATTCCTCACGAGAATGGGACCAATTATTGATATTATTTTGCCTGCAGGCCCGTCTACACATGGTCGACGTCAAAGTCTTCGAGAGTCTTGACGAGGATGAACCTAGTCTGGTTAGAGTGGAGAGCACGGAACAAGGCGGGGAAGCCAGAGCGGTTAGGCGGTATCGAGGAAAGTTGCGCACAGACGGAAGTCCGGTCGTGGTGAAGCAGTTCAAGGAACGCGACGGGACGTACCGCGACGAGATCGAGCGTCACAAGGGACTATTGTAGGTCGCAAAGATACTATGCGCTTGTCGATCCTGCGGCTCATTGCGAGCGTTTCTATGCAAACGTCATGCTCATGCTCTTTGCATGCGGGTGTATAGGCATCCGGGTATTGTGCAATTCAGGGGGTATTCAATCGAGCCCGAGAAAGTTCTCATCGCATATGACATGGAGCGTAAGTGTTCAGGTGTTCTCTGCAAAGTCTGTGCGGGGCGCTCACCATATGGCTACGACGCAGCTCACGTCGGCTCGTTTGAAGCGCTGAGCCGATCCGTGCAAGGTGTTGACAAATTACTGTGGATACTTAATGCGGTCAGTTCTGGATATCATTCATTAGGTTCTATTGCAGGCACTGATTCGGCGAGCACAGACTAAACAGATACACGTGAGTCCGGGCTCCATAGTAAATTGGGGGTTTGACATCGAACTCACCCGTCGCCTAGGATGCATTTTTGCATCTCGCGAGCCACTCTCCCGGTGGACTGCAATGGACTGCGGACGACGACGTGAGCAATCTGCACAGTCTATTGAGGTTTTTACTTACTTTGAATGGTGATAGATCGATATAATAACGTGTGGAGGAGACCTTGTCGTGACCGCGGACTCGCGCGTGCTGGTGGACGTGAGTCGGTGTCGGCTCGACCGGCTGCCGAATCTCGTCATCTTGTACGAATGGGTGAGTATTCATCGCGCGGGATGGAATGGTGCTGAACAGCTGACGTATGTTTGCTACAGACAATCGAACTACACGGACCCGCGAGAAAGCTCGTGCAAGGTGCGTTCGGCTCGCGCGCTTGCTCTTGTACGTTCTACGGTAGATGTTGACCTGTGCTGCGCCGATACATGTGCAGGCATGAAGAAGAACCCGCTCGCGAACGTGCCCGTGTGGAAGCAGCGGGACGCGTTGACCACGCTCTGGCGACAGATCGCGTCCTTCACTCGCTTCGAGCGCGACAGCACACTGTTCTGGAATCCGCAACGGACACGGAGCTTGCGCGTGGTGTACCCCGGGGAGTGCTTCCTGCGAGAGAGCAGTAAGCTGCTCAGGGGGCTCTGCTACGAGGATCAGGTGCAACGACATACACTCGAAGTGAAGTGTTTCCCGGGGATGATGTGCCCGGAACGGATAGTCGAAGACGGGTGCGCGGACCCAGGCGAGGTCCAATCACCACGAGCGCGGCAGAAGAAGAGGAAAGATCTAGTGAAGCGGAAGAAAGACACGAGGAAAGCGTTTCGGGTCGAGGAGAAGGCGCTCACGTACGAAGTGCCCCCTGAAAATCTGATGTTCTCTGCACCGCATGGGAACGCGATCTACGAACGGTGGCGGCGGTAAGTGGTCCTATCCGGTCAATAGAGACGTGGCGGCTCACGATCTGTCTAGATACACGGTGCACGGCCTGAACTACGGGTGGAGGCTGCAGACAACAACGGTGGTACGGGAGAGTGGCGACTGCGAGGGGTGGCTGCTCAACCAAGCACCGGGGCTCTGTGACTTCGGACCACCCCTAGACCTACAAAACTTGGCGATAGGTAAGCAGAAAGCTGGCCTCGCAAAGAAATAACTTACGACCATACGCACGTCCAATCAGCGACAGCACTGAGATTTACGACCAAGACGTACCTCGTCGGCGTGTTCTCGGCAGGTGGAATACAGCAGCCGCCCCCCACGCGAACGTTGTACTTCTACGAGCACGTGCACGACCACCCTCGCGCGACCCTTGCCATGGACGGGCAGCTGAACTGGCCGTGGGGCTTCTGGTCGACGGAGGCTGATGACCGGCTCGAAGCCGAGCGGTCGGAGGACGCTCACCGCGCCAGAGGACGGCATTCGATAAATTTTGCGGGCGTGACGGACGATGGACTTTATCGGTGGCTGCAGATCGTGGACGGCTGCATGATGAGTATCGACGTGAGGTGAGTGCGGATGATAGACCGAGTATGGCTGCGGCGGCTGACAAGCACGGGCTTTTGAAGGGTGGAGGTGGAGTACTGCAACTTTACGAAGGACGAGTGCAAGGTGCTGGAGAAGATCCAGGAGGCATCTGTCGCCGAGGCGGAGTGGCAGGCCGGGCCAGATGCATGGAGGATGGACGTTGACCCAGACGAAGATTCGGACACCGCCTCAGACACGGAGGATAGTATGATGGAGTGGGAAGACGAGGAGTATTCGGCAGCTGATACGGACGACGAGGATGAGTGGTGCGGTGTTGATGAGGATACCGTTGCGGAAGGGCTATACTGGTTGCGAGTACGCAAAGAATACCCTGTCCAGGTACTCACGCCGAACGCGGCGTACATAAGGAGAGGTAAGTGTGACTGCGGCTGTTGTGGCGAGCAGCTATTGACTGAAACGGCCGTGCTTCTCTTCAGGTTCGCATCAGGTCTCTGAACGTCGCGCAACTTGTTCGGGAGTGCTTGGAACTATGGGGGAGAGACGACCCGTTGCGTCATATTGACCGACGAAAGTGTGTTGGAGAGTGCTTACAGCGATTTACATAATTTGCACGTATTGCGCCCACGAGTGATATTCTAGCGGTGACCAAATGCACGGCTGGGGAGCGGAGATTACGGTAGGCGACGCCTCAGCTTTGCGAAAATGAAAGTCGAGAACACAGATGCGGGGGCTTGTATGACCTAGACGAGGACGGCGTAAATTTGCGCAATACGGGTATATGGACGGATTCCGGACGCCGTTCACTGAACGCTTAGAGCAGGGCCAAGGTGGGGCCGAGCAGCAAGCGTCGAGCGAAAGCGACAGTGGGCGTGAAGTCTCCAGGTGGGGCACTCAGGCTCAGGCATTCGCTTTCTCTTCACGCTCACCTGCTTCTCCCGCGACGTGCGCTATATAAGATGTGAGCTAGAACTCGTAGACGAGCAGAAATACTCACCATCAGTCATGTCCAAAACCACTGAATCCAGCGACAACCTGCCTCACCCCCCGCCGCTCACCCCGGAGCAGCGCAAGCTCATCACCGCAACCGTCCCCATCCTCGCGGAGCACGGCATAGCCATCACCACCCTCTTCTACGAGCAGCTGCTCGAGGCCAATCCCGAGCTGCGCAACGTCTTCAGCCACAGCAACAAGGAGGTCTGCCCATTCCACTCCTCCTATGCAGGTCCGGATGCTCACCTGTCATCGTCCTTGCAGCGCGGCCTCCAGGCGGAGGCGCTCGCCCGCGCCGTGTACGCCTACGCCGCCAACATTGAGGACCTCACCCCCATTCTCCCCGTCGTGGAGCGTATCGCGCACAAGCATGCCTCTATTCATGTCGCGCCCTCCCATTACGCCGTCGTCGGAAAACACCTCCTCGATGCTATCACGCAGGTCGTGGGCGCCGACATCTTCAAGGGCGACCTGTACGAGGCATGGGGCGCCGCGTACTGGAACCTCGCCCATGTCTTCATTAACCGTGAGCACGAGCTGTACGAAGCGGCTCAGTGGGTCGGCTGGCGCGAGTTCGTTGTCGCTAGGAAGGTCCGGGAGACGGAGGAGGTCACGTCTTTCTACCTCAAACCGAAGGATGGGAAGTCCCTCGCACCGTATCGCCCTGGCCAGTACATCTCTGTACAGAAATTTGTGCCGGAGCTCGGCTTGCGACAGTGTAGACAGTAAGCCACCTGTCCTGCACAGCTAGATGAGCGACTCACGGGTCCACGCCGCGCAGGTATTCGCTCTCAAACGCGCCGAACACGGAGTCCTTCCGCATCACCGTCAAGCGCGAGCCCGGCGTTCGAGCTGGCGCACTCTCGGGAGCGCTCGATACCGCACAGGTCGCCCACCCCGGCTGGATGTCGAACCTCCTGCATGCGACGCTCGCCGAGGGCGACCCGATTGAGGTCGTGTTCCCGTTCGGCGAGTTCTTCCTCGATGATTCGTCCGCGCCCGTCGTCCTCCTCTCCGCGGGCGTCGGCCTCACCCCGCTCCTCGCCATGCTGAACACGCTCGTGAAGGCTGACCTGAAGCGCGAGATTAGCTGGGTGCAGGCGGTACGCAGCGGGCGCGTGCACGCGTTCCGGGAGCATGTGCGCAAGGTGCGGGAGACGCATCCTGACCGTGTGCAAACCCACGTAGTCTACTCCGACCCGAGCGCAAGCGATGTTGAGGGCCGTGATTTCGACGTGCGGGGTCGTCTTGACCTCGAGAAGGTGCCGCGAGACGTGCTCTGTCTGGACGAAAGGGACGCGCAGTACTATGTGTGCGGGCCGGTGACGTTCATGGCGGATATGGTCGGCGGTCTGAAGTCGCGGGGTGTGGACTCGATCAGGATTCATGCGGAAGTATTTGGGTCGGGGGCGACGCCGTAATAGATGTGTCGGCCCTCGGGGAAGGCAAACTCAGTTTCGAAAACAATTCCGAGATTTGTACTGTTGTGTTCTCATGCGTATCCGTGTAGGACTGCCATACTCTGATGCCAACTAGTTAACGCGGCAGAATGGAGGTAAACGGTGGACTCACCATGACGGGCCGTAGGACAGCATCTACGAACGGAACGGCTCGCCCACCAGACGATGCATATGCATCAGCACATCTTCAGCATATCTCTCCGTTGCATCCAACAGGCTTGCGCTGGAACTTGAAACTTTGAAGCGTAGGCATGAATTTGTACAGGCGTTGTCGCGGAAGGAGGCAAGGAGGACCAGCTCGGTGGTTGACCGGGGAAGCGGGCCGCAGACCGGGAGGTGGACTTGCCGGGGGCCGGGTGCGGGGTCCCGACGGCGAGACCTCCCTCGCATGGGGCCACTCCCAGACATTGGGGGTGCCCCTCCACCTCCTCTTGACATGTCTCGCATCGCCGCATAGTACACACCGGACGGTCTCCCACCAACATACAGCCTCTCTGCTATGTCCTCCCAGCGCGATCCATCCGCGGTCCGCTTCGAGGGCGACCTCTCTCACACACAGCGCTCCTCTATCCTCAAGTTCGCCAACATCATCCTTCGAGGCAAGGGGCTCTACGCGAAGTCTACCGGCTCGCGTCTGGAGATCACAGAGGTCTCTTTCTACGAGCGCGAGGAGGACAAGAAGCCGCAGGTCCGGATGATCTTCGAGCTCGACGTCGACGAAGGTACGTGCTCTCTGCATCCGACCATGGAAGCCTGTACGCCGAACCCTAACTCTGTCCGGTGCTTCGGAAAGACATGCTCAATTCCGCGAACATGGTCCATGGTGGCTGCTCTATGTTCCTGATAGACGTGTAAGCATCCTTGCTCAGCGTGACGGCCCGCGTACGCTCATTCGTGCTTCCGTTGCCCCTCCGCAGCTGCTCGTCCATCGCCCTCGTTTCCCTCGGTATCGCGACAAACAGGGACACTCGTCTCGTCTCACAGGCGATCACCACTGTGTTTCACGCGCCCGCGACGACGTGCGTAGTCCCTGTCCAGTTGCCTGCATTCTGCGCTCGCGTTAAACATGATCTTGCGTACCACCACAGAGGGGCGAAGCTGCGCATCATCAACACCACCGTGTCGTTCGGCGCGCGCACAGTCACAGCGCGCACGGAGGTACGGCACCTCGCTGACAGCCACCACCGCGCGCTGACGCCCCTGCACAGATCTGGGATACTACAAATCGTAGGCTGGTCGCGTCGGGTGTGCATAATCAGATGCAGCCGTCTGCGCCCAAGCTGTAATCTAGAGCAAGTGTATATGTGAAGCGGGACTAGGACACATCTCGGCCGCTACACAGTGTCATCCGGACGGCGTCCCATCGTATCACACCCCGCCGCCCTACGTCGCCCACCACATAGACGACGTCAAGCTGTACATGCTTTGTTGGGGATACGCTTGGTACGTAAATACCGTTTGTCGCGCAATGTCATATAGCGCTTCTGACGGCCGTATAACGTTGCTGCTACATGAGCTTCTGTATGAGCTGTTTTGGCGTGCGCCGTTCGCGCACGCTGATGATTCACGTACCAGTCTTGCAAAGGGTGGGTGTTCTTTTTCCGATTGGTAGCAACGGTCTATCGGGTTACCGTACTACTAGCTAGAGGTACGTCGCATATATCAATGCTAGTGCATACTGACATGGACGTCACGGCGGTTCAGCATCCTCGTCCGGCTTCTTTCTAGATCCCCGCTAGCATCAGCCCTCCGGGCTAGTGGCCTACTCCTGGCATACCCGCGCGGTGACGAGCCGCGATCGATTCTCTGTTCTAGTGCTTGTGTTCGCATTCTTCTACGTTTCCGTTAGGACAGACCCAGCGAGTACTTACTCCATCCCTAGGCCAGTCGAGGCAATATTTAGTTCGCAATCCGCGGTATTCTTTGTGCAATCGGTCAGCGAACCCATACCGCGGAGATCGCAAGCGTTAGCGGCAACCGAGCATCTAGGAGCGCTTGGCTGCGCAGGAAACCGCCCCAATCCCTGGCAGTGCCCCCTTATATCAGCAATCCACCACCAAATTACGGTAACTCGGACACCTTCGACCTCGGAGCGACGATATATAATCCACCAGCTCTGCTCACACATACTTCCGATTGAGCCCCAATATTCCACCTTGTGGCTGACAGGACGCCTGATATGAACGGAAAGGCGTTGAATATCGCCCGGGGGGCGTTGTACCCTCCCTCAGCATCCGAACATGTCGGTGCGCCCTAAATACTATAAACATCGCGGTTGTGAGCACCGTCCTCCGCAAACTTACCAGTCTTCCTAGCCAGCCTCCAAAGACAAGACATACTCGCCATGAACTCTGACCGTGATCAGTCCGCCATCCACTTCGAGGGTAACCTCTCTCCTGAGCAGCGTTCCGCTATCCTCGTATTTGCCGACCGCATCCTTCGAGGCCGCGGTCGCTTTGCGAAGTCTACCGGCTCTCGTCTCGAGGTCACTGAGGTCTCGCTTTACGAGAGGGAGGAAGACAAGAAGACGCAGATGCGGATGGTCTTCGAAGTCGACGTGAATGAAGGTCAGGGTGTCCTTTGCATTTGACCGTGCCCATCTGCAGCTCACTCCTGATATCCGGTGCGGACAGACATGCTGAACTCCGGCGACACGGTGCATGGCGGCTGCTCTATGTTTCTGATCGACGTGTGCGTACCCTCGGTCAACGTGACTGGCGCTACAGGCTTACTCGCGCGTCCGCACCGTCGTCTTGCGTCCCCGAACCCACCGCAGTTGCTCGTTCATCACCCTTTACGCCCTCGGCATCGCGACCGACAGGAAGATGCGCCTCGTGTCACAGGCTCTTACCACCGTGTTCCACGCGCCCGCGAAGACGTGCGTAAACCCCGCATCCGTGCGTAAACCCCGCATCGCGTCCAACAACACCGCTCACGTTCTTACAGAGGCGCGAAGCTGCGCATTGTGAATACCACCGTAGCTTTCGGCGCGCGCACGGTCACTGCGCGTACAGAGGTGAGTTTTGAGTTCGTTCGCAGTCATCGTGGTGCGCTCACGGCCCCGGCACAGATCTGGGATGCTACCAATCGGAGGCTCGTCGCGTCGGGCGTGAACAGTCAGATGCAGCCGTCCGTGGCCAAGCTGTAATTCTAGAATATGCGTGTATTTCGAGCTGGGTGCGACATGACCGCCGGGCGGTGCTATGTGGACGGCGCGCAGCCGCCTCACACGCCGCCGACCACACGGGCGATGGCAGAGCCCGGACGTGCGCCGCGGACGCAGATCCCGGAGGTGCATTGCTGCTGCGACCTCAGGTACGCCCGATTTGTTATATTGACTTTGCTGGGATCTGCTCGTGCTGTGCACGCTGTGTGGTTTGCCGTTTGCCGGTGCCTGGTTTGTACGTACCACGCCCGGTTTCTGCTGCAGGCGCGACCTTTGGACGTGTTACTCTGAAGGTTGCCGCCTGGTTGTCGGGCTTGAGATGGTGATAATTTGTCGGATGGGCGTGGGGGAAGGCGCGAAATGCTAGTCTGCTATGGTAAAACGATGCAACAGAGAGCCAACGGTAGGCTGTCCATTTGCACGGTTCACGCTCCTTGCACTCGCGTATTAATCCCACCGTAACACAGCTGACTGCCCCGAAACAAGCATGTCTGGCATCGACCCCCAACCTATGTGAGTACCCGGATCTTTTGCTCGGTTGCGATTCACTGATCCCTCGGCTTAGCCTCGTTCAGAAGGCCTCTGTTGGAGCCATGTGCAGTGTGTTGCGGCTGCCTCTCGCGTGGTCGTCGAACATGCAGCTGACAACTGTGTAGCGCTCTTGCTGTATGAACTGACCCTCACTATCGATCGTGAAGTGGGAATGTTCTGGAAACCGCCTTTCACGCGGACTACCGCCCTCTTCCTCCTCAATCGCTATGTATCTCTCGCAAAGTACCCAATAACTTTGATGACGTACGTCTCGGTTTCGCAAAAGGTGCGTCTCGTAGTTCGAATATCTTATAGCGGTGTGGTCATTTACTGTGTTAGTAGAAGTACGCCGTATCGTTCAAGCCGAGGTATCTTGACGCGGCGAATACTTCCTGACAGCTGCGACGTCCTCATTCGGATTGGCGAAGTCGTGGAGATTATCCCGTACGTCGTATGGGCCAGTAAGTCTTCGGTACCTCTCCGTTCATGCCTGGGTCCCTGCTGACCTCAGCTTTTATACCAGTGTTTTCCGCCTTGCGTATCCACGCGTTGACTGGACGTGACCGACGGCTCATCGCCCTGGTTGTAATCGTGCTGTTATGTGTCCCAGACGGGACGAATCTTGTGAGCATGTCGTGCCTTGACTGGTTTCAGGCAATATCTGGCGAAGACGTGCCTTGGCCCCGCGTCGCGTTTAACAACACGCGGATGTTTCTGTGACACGTGTTTGTGCGCAGAGCACATCTCTGCAGACCACGAGTCCACCATCTGGCCATCTGACCGTCGTCGTCGCAGTGAACAGGCAGAGGGAGACGCAGCTGTCGTATCTGTTGGAGCAGTACAGCCACCGTACCTCGTTGATCATGAATATATGGGACACAGTGTCTGTGCTGTGCTTCGATGCTGCGAGGTGCGTCGGGTTCTCATTTGTCCCTCAGGCTGTCCCCGCTCAAGTTACCTTCTGACTTCTTGTCGCCGCCACAGGAGCTTCTTCGTGAAAGGATCGCGTGTTTCTCTTGACGGGCTCTCTATCCAAGGACATCTTGGGATTGACGGTCTCCCCGGCGCGCCGCACGTGCCCTTCGCCCTTGTGCCTTGCTGAGCGCTGACGCGGCGCCGACATGTTCTCGAACATAGGAGCAATGTGTGTGCTCTCCAGAGAACACGATGTATCGACGGCGTCGTGTTGGAGTGCGCATGTTACATGGTTCTCGCGCAGCTCGCAAAAGGGAGGAAGCGAAGGGATATTCATCGGCCGGCCTATATAGGACGGTGGAGCATGCGACGGCCGTCAACAATCGCTCGTACCAAAGACCACCGACAGTATGGCCGATTCTGCTGCAGCCACGTATCTCATCGACTACTACAGAACTACGTGAGTTACACCCCATATTGCTCGTCTGAGGCGCTCACGAATCACTCTAGACTTGTTGAGAAATCATCGATGGCCGGGATGTTAGGTACGCGCTCACCTAACGGCTCGACTCTTGTACCAGTAGCTGACCGGTGACTACCCGACTTCAGCACTTATGCTATACGAACTATGTATCACTTTCGACCGAGAGGCGGGGCTCTTCTGGAACATGCCTTTCAGTCGAACAACGGCAATCTTCCTCCTCAACCGGTATTCGTCCCTGCTCAAATACCCGGTGAGCATGATATCGTACCGCTCTACGATGTCGGAGACGGTAAGTATTCCCGCGTATCGATATGCATGAAGCTTATGCATAGACTTTAGAGGTACGCGTGAGGCGCGCATTGAGGAGCTCCCCGCCGAGGTCGCTGATATCAGAGCGCAGTTGCAACGCCCTCGTTCGCGCTGGCCAGACCCTGGAGATCATACCCTACTTTGTATGGGCCAGTAAGTATCTCCTTCCGCCCAGCCGACGTCAAGTGCTGATGTCGAGTCTTACAAGTATTCTCGGCCATGCGCATCCGCGCGATCGCCGACCGCAATATAATGTTATTTTTCCTCGTGTTTGTGCTGCTTTGCGTGCCGGTTGGCACCAACCTGGTCAGTGCCATTCGTTTTTCGACGAGGCGGACCTCTATTTACGGGTCACGCTTACGCACGCAGTATTTGTTCGCTATCTCAGTCCCCGACACTGTTGGTGATCCTGTAGGGTGCATCGCCATCGCAGCTGTCCCCGATGAACTCTATACGGCGTACGTCAAATCTTATCTGCTATGTACACTGGCTGATCATACCTCCTGTACCGCATTTTATAGACGTGAGTGATTATCTTCGCGCGCCGCTAGACAACAGCTCATGCCGGATAGTTCTCATCTTGACTCGAGCTTCTGCGATCTTGGGTGACGCTATCGTCATTGGTGTAACATGGTTCAAGACGTTCCGCGGCTGGAGAGCAGCCGTGGACGCCAACATGAGGGTGTCATTGTCGGAGATGATCCTTCGGGATGGTGAGCAGAGAATGTGTTGCGCGCGTATGCTGTCCTTCTGCTGACGCGCATGTACAGGCTCGATATACTTCCTGTGCGTCAATTTCGGACCCGACCACTATGACTCTGGGCTGATATGATGATTATAGTGTCCTCCTGTGTCTGAACGTCTTGCATGTTGTTATGGCGCTTGCCACAACTTTCAGCGGGATCATTGCAGCCTATGAGGAGCCGTGAGTCGCTGGCGCGCTGATACAGACGGCCTCGTGAATTCACAACTCTGAATTTTTCCAGATTATCATCAATAATGGTCTCCCGGCTTATGCTCAACCTGCGGGAGGTGGATCAGTCTGCTCGCAATGCGGCGGCGGACGAGTGCACGTTCCAGTTTGACAGGGCGTGTGCGGTCTTTCCTACCCGCCGAGAGACAATGAGTTCGATCGGAGCTCTGTCACGAGAAGAGATAGAGAGGAGGAGTATCCCTCGGAACCAAGCCTCTCTCGATGACATGCTTTCTTTATACACGCTCGATCACTCGGAGGAAGAGGAGGGTACGATATGCACGAGCCTTGATCGCCCGAGTCGGCCAGCGACTTCGTGCTAGATACCGACCACTCGCAATTGTATATCATTAATTTATACGTGTTTCTGCGCATGAGTGGGCTTTTTCTAGTAAACGGCCGGAAAACGACCCGCTTTCCATTGATTTGTAGGAAGGCGCGAACACTAGAACTGCCTAATCGAGACGCGGGAAAGAAGCAGAGAACGGGCGCTTATGTGAAAGGAGCTCGTCGTGCTCAGTCATCTGCTCGCCGCTCCGGACGTCTTCCGCACCGTCGGACGTACTTACGCCGATACCGCCAAGGACACTCCAAATGCTCCGTGAGTCGTCCGCAAGCAGGTCATGGGGTGTCGCTCACGAAGACCTCAGGAAGCAGCGCCTGCGCTTTTGCTCGTCCGTCCGCCTCGGAATACGAGCGGAATGTTCGTTCTTCGACGAAAGCGGTAACTCGTCCAAGGTGCGTCTCTCTGTTCGCCTTTCCGACCCGCTTCCGACACTTACAACTTCCCTCCAGTCATTGTACACTACTATGGGTCCCCGTACTATATATTCGAAGCGCGGGGCACAATACAGCGCACCTGAGCTTCTACTCGCTGTCCAGCCCCTCCGACACGGTCTCGTCTTCCGCTCCTTCTCGAGTTCTACCTCCTCAATATGGCATCTATCGGACATAACGAGACTGCCGCGGTAGAAGCCTTCGACGACGACGCCGCGACGGCAGTCGAGAAGCACGCACCCGGTCATGTTCAGCTCCCACTCGCGCCAGGGAGCCACCCTCATAACCCCGCCTCTCATGACCCCGATCGCCCTGATATCAGTTTCCCGTTCCAGACGACAAATACCGTAGAAGGTGGCTTCACAGACGAGTACCGGGTCACTTCAAAAACTGGATACATCACTGCCGACCTCGCCCTTCGTCCGGTTCCTTCTCGCTACCACAAGCTTCCTGCTGTGCTCGCGGACCCCGAGAAGGCGTTCCGACTCAAGCAGGTTAAGCTCGTGACCTGGTACGAGAACGACCCTGAAGACCCACGTAATTGGAAAAACGCTTACAAGTGGTGTGAGTATCCGCTGCACCTTTCGCTCGCGGTCAACCAGTCTCTGACAAGCCTTCGACGCAGATATCACGTTCGTTTGCGCACTCTCGGTCGTGGCGATTGCTTTCGCCACGGCCATTATTGCCGGTGATTTCGGCGGCGTCATGGAGGAGTTCCAGGTCTCCGAGGTCGTCGTCGCACTCAGTGTTTCTCTTATGATCATCGGGTTTGGTATAGGACCATTGATCCTCGCGCCACTGGTACGTTGCTATTCTCGTCTCGCGCACTGCACAAGCTGACGGTCTTTGACAGAGCGAGCTTCATGGAAGGCGTCCGTTCTGGGTCGTGCCATTCGTAATATACATTAGTACGTCTTGAGTTGCACATGTTCGTTCGTATCGCTGACGGCCACCTCAGTCTTCAACATCCCCTGCGCACTCGCGAAAAACATCGGCACCCTGCTCGTGTCAAGATTCCTGTGCGGTCTGTTTGGCTCCGGGCCGTTCGCGCTCGCAGGAGGCGCCATCGCTGATATATGGGACAACAACGAGCGCGGCTTCGCGGTCGCGCTGTTTGCGGCTGCGCCTTACGGGTGAGTCACTTGCTTTCTTTTGATGAACTCGCCACTAAACTCGGACCGTAGCGGCCCCGTCCTCGGACCTATCGTCGGCGGCTTCATCGGAGAGACCGTCGGCTGGCGGTGGATTTTCTGGGTAAGCAGTCCTGGCTACTACGCGGCAACGACTCTGACGTGCGCCCTGCAGGTCAACATGATGTTTGCCGGCGTGGTGGCGTGTATGTGCGCGACAATCCCGGAGACGTACGCGCCCGCAATTCTACTCAAGAGGGCGAAGCGGCTCCGTGCGGAGACGGGCGACCCGCACATCACGACCGAGCAAGAGCTGTTTAGGAAGTCATTGAAGGAGATCGTCGTCGAGACCGCCATACGGCCGTTCCGTGAGTTCCCCTGTTGATATCTATTCCCTCTAGTTGCTCACATAGTCTGCAGAGATGATTGCGACGGAACCCATCCTGACTCTCATGTCCATGTATGCGTCTCTGATCTACGGTCTCTTGGTAAGTCTACCCGTCTTCAATCACGGGCGCCACAGTTAATATTCTTGTAGTACGCGTTCTTCTTCAGCTTCCCCATCGTCTTCTCTGAGGGCTACGGGTACAACGACGGCATCACCGGCCTGATGTTCTGCTCGGTGTTGATCGGCGTCGGGCTCGCCCTGTTCGTGACTCCCCGTCTCGAGAGGGACTACCTGCGCCGCGCGAAGGAAAAGGGCGGACATGCCGACCCCGAGGACCGTCTCATCGGTATGATGATCGGCTGCTGGTTCATTCCCATCGGTACGTTTATATGCATCGTACTGTATATTTTTGCTGACGACGTGCCTTAGGCATGTTCATCTTCGGATGGACGAGTCCACCAACGGTCATGCCTGGTGGCGGTAACTGGGTGGGCCCTTGCTCTGCCGGCATTCCCTTCGGCTTCGGAAGTGAGTGCTACGTCTCTCAGAATATCTCGGATGGTTTGCTGACGCGTTCGCTCTCTAGTGGTCGTGCTGTACTTCTCCGCCAATGCGTACATCATTGACGCGTTCCCCGGATACGTCGCGTCTGCCCTCGCCGCGAAGATTGTCATCCGTTCCGGGCTCGGCGCTGCGACGCCGCTGTTCATCTCCGCCATGTTCCACAACCTCGGAAACGGATGGGCCGCCTCCGTCTGGGGCTTTATCTCCTTCGCTCTCGTGAGTACTCGCGCTCGTCGGTCGCGTCCATGGACAGATTGCTGACGTTTCCTTGGCGTCGCTGACTTGCAGATCCCGATTCCGTTCTGCTTTTACCGGTACGGGAAGGCCATCCGCGGCAAGTCGAAGCGCGCGGTGTAGGGCCGCGCTGGCCAGGCCGCTGTCGAGTTGGCACCATATGGACGGACGGGGTGTCCATATGCTTCCGAGCACGCACTACTAATATTTCCATCATAATCGTGTACGTAGAGCCTACTATGACCTAATGACGAATTGCGAACGTAGATACCGGACGCACGCTGCACGCGCGGAGTGCGCCAACTTCAATTTGTCGACGCGGTGCGTGTGGACGCGCCGCTATCGCCCGCCGAGCCTAGGCACCCTCGCCACTTTGCGCGAAGTGCCCGGGTAACCGACGGACGGGAGCCAGCGGGCGTAACGGTACCGGCGGTATCGCGCGATCCGGGCACGCAGTCGACGAATCTGAGCACCGCGTTGGCGCGTCCGACGCCGCGCACCCGCGTTGCTGGAACGCCGTCCGTGGAAGAACTTAGAACGGCGCCGTCGGTCTGATCGCTATCTGAAACGCGCTCCTCCCCCAGGGGGCGCGTCGATCTCGTCGCGCAGATAGACTGCGTCGACGTTTACCCGCGTGATGGGCCATCCTCTGCGCTCCGACATGTGCGACATGTGATTATATGTATTGGTGTGTACCGACGCTGGCCTGTGAACGGCAGGGACGGGGAGCGGGCGGAACTGGAGATAAGTAAATGTTTTGTATGATGGAGGAGGGGTGCGGTGGGGCGGGGCGCGTCGCGAGGAACGTGCCGGGCGCGCTAGCGACGCGTCTCCCAGGGCTGCCCGATAGAGAGGGATCGCGGTGTTGTGTACGGGGAGCGCGACGGGCCCGGAGCCCGCGCGCGGCAGGGGATAGAAGGCGGGCGACGTTCGACGCGCGCGTGCCTGGGGCTTCGCGGGCCCCACGCGACGCGGGCCATGTGCAAGCGGGTGCTGAGAGACGAGAGACGGGTGCGTGTTCGGTGCGCGGGAATGAGGAAGGTCTATAAAATAGAGTTGGCTGGCGGTGCTTGCGATAGCGCACCGGCGGTGTGGAACGCGGTGCGGGATGTGGCGGGCGCAGGGACGTGTGGTTGGGATGCACTGGCAGGGAAGACGTAGCGGGAAAGACAAGGGCTGCATGCAAATATGTCGTTGGTTACCTGTATGTCATGAGTTTTGCGTGTACTACGAGCGTGCATGAAGAAGAATGTGTATAGGAAACTCGAAACGGCGGGTTTATGGCACGCGGATCGGTCCGGAGAAATGTCGAGCACAAGAGGTCCTTGTACAGCTCAGCGACTGCGTCACTACGACATGTCGTCGTCTTACCATCCCGTACAGCATTGTTTCCTCCTTTGTACTCGTCGGGAGGTGACTGACAGATGCAGTCACCCAAACCACATCGGCGATACAGGCTTGAAGATCTCGAGCACCGCCGCCGAGCTCGACTCGGAGCGCACACAGGACCGCCCTGCTTTACTGTGGCAGCCATTCGCAGAAAGGGCGTCCACCGCCCCGGCGCCACGGAGGTTCCCGGAGAACCACGACCGCTCGGGCAATCTGCGCGAACATCGATGAGCAGCGTGTTCTCGGAATGGACGCGAGGCATCTGACCGATATTGTCGTGTGACGCCGCACGCCATCCCGGACCCGTCTGTCCCGTTTGGTCAGCGCGATGTGTCCGTCGTGGGTCCCGTAACTAGAGGTGCTCAATTGCGGACGCGTGGCAACGTTGAGGTGCGTCCGCGATCACGGAACAGCGAAGAGTCGCTAGGTAGCTGCATAAGACAATGTTCCTGTTAGAAGCGGGCGTGTTATGCCGCGGGACGACCAACATGGCGAGTTGGAGCAGCGGGAGATAGAATCTGCACTGAGACGTTCTGCCAGATACGCATGAAGTCGCCGTCTCCGAGTCTGCGAGCAGTACGGGTGTCTTGAGATAGCTCTCGAGTCCGCCGTACTCGCATCGGATCATCTCCAAGATAGCTTGCATGTCTGTGGCCTGCATGTTTGTGAGTAACCCTTCGCATATGCCTGTAGAACGGGAACATGCACTTCGAAACGCTCATGCTTTGCAGCCCTGTCATGTTCTCGCTGAAGCCGGTGTCGTTGTGGAACCGGGCGGTGAGCGTGGGCATCACCGGCTGCATTCTGACCTCGGTCAGGGCGTAGTCGGCGACGATTTTCTCGTCGCGCGCTCCGAGAAGCTGCAAGCACAGGGTCAGCGCGTCTCGGAGGTGGGTGTATGTTCTTGCGCGGCGTACCATGAGGATGGCTGACGCGAGGAGACCGGTGCTGTCCTTCCCTGTTGCGTCCGAATTGTCAGCGGAGATGTAGGAGGTGAGGAAGGGGGAACGTACCAGTACAGTGCAAGTACATGGCTGCTGCTCCGGATGTCCGCGCATGTGCAATGATTCGGAATGCACTGGCTGTGGTATTCCACCAGGTACTCTACAAAGGGGAGAGTTCTATCGCATAGAGAGACAAAGGCGCGACAGTGTAGATGGTTTTGCGAGAGCCAGAGGTCGAATTCCCAAGATTCAGTTAGAAGAGATCGGGCTTCGGCGAGTGCAGTGTCGGTCCGTAGTTGGACGCAGGTGAACGAAAGCTCTATCTGCGGCAGAGCATATCTCGTCCTAGTCCTTCATATTTTATGCTGCTCCTGTGGCCTAGGTCGTAGAACGGGTAGAAGAAGATGGCGATGGCAGACGAGAGGAGGTGCGCAAGATGTGCGAGCGGCTCCCGGCCCGGAGTGTCCGTTAGTTTAGTCTGGGTCGATGACCTCATCGCTGTCTCCTCCTTGGCCTCCTCCACCGTGACCGACGGTCCCTCACGAACTATGCATACAGTCTGCTCTCGAGCGTGGTCCTAATGCCACCGACTGTAATCCCAACCTCCTCAATCGTTTCCATGAAGATAGAGGGCCTCGATCTGAGCCAGCCCACGTTGAACGACTCGCACGGGCAGGATCGAGCCTCCCAAAGACCCAGTACGCCATGCGACAGCCACCTCTCTAGACCGTCCTCCAGCAACACCTCGGAGGACGCGTACGTCTAGACATGGAGAGATCGCTCGGCTTTCAAACCAGCCTGCGATCGCCCTCCGGCTTCTATCCCTCCCTCCCCGCGGGCTCCCGATCCCAGCACGCACGTCCGCGGACTCCTGCCCGCCCGTATGTACATACGCCACACCACCCTGCTCCCCTCCATACCGACGCTTCGCAGCGCGCTGTACCCGCCGGATCCGACAGCGTCCGGCGTTCTCAGCGCGCGACCGCGTCCGGCGTTCAAACGCGCGCACTGGGCCGATCGCGCGCACGACGGTCAGGGGCGGGTGCATCCGCGCGTCGCACCGCGTCGCGCCATGTGCTTTTTGCTCTCCCCCGCGCTGCCGGCGGGGCAAATGGACGCCGGCGCCGAGGACCTGACGCTACCTGACGGTTGCGCGAGGCGACGGCGGGCACGATCGCCCTCCCGCCGGGAGGCGCGACGGTGGTTGCGGGTGCGAGTGCGAATTTGAACGGGCGTGGAGACGACGACGACGATCGACGTCGTCGGGCGATCGCCGTAGCTCCGTGTCTACTAGCATACATGGACATAAGCCAAGAGTAAAAGCCACAATCCAGGACTCAGGAGACAGGGGTGTGGACGCTAGCGCTATGGACGCTGGTCGGGCGCGCGACGATAGGTGCAGCACACCCTGACGCCAGCCAGGAGCCACAATCCAGGATTCAGGAGACAGGGGGTGTGGACGCGCTATGTACGCTAGTCGGGCGCGCGACGGTACGTAGCCTCGATCGTAACGACCTGGGACGTAAAACACGTCGCGTTCGCGTTAGACCGTACCGGCGCCACCGATCGCATATTCCCTAGATGTAGATGCTCAGATAGGTGCAGATTGGCCTCCGGGCGTGCGATCGGTCGCTGTCGGGCAGAGGCTGCCGGACGCGTCGAGGTGAGGCGGGAGGCTTGGGGTGCGTGTATATGCGTAGAAATGCCTTTGTTTGTAGGGCGGTCGCGTGCGGCGGTCAGCGGGCGGAGGGTGTTCGTCACGGGAGGTCTGCGTATAGGCAGGACAGCGTCCTGTTCCTGTACAGAGAGCGCTGCTGTGCAAGCGCATCTGAGTCCGAGTCCAGGATCGTCTGATGTCGACGCGATGTGTGGTGCGAAAAGCTAAACATAGATGTGTGTGATGTACATGGGGCGCGGGCGCATCTCGATACATACGGATTCGGACACGGGACGCGTCGGGGTGTGTTCTGTCCCGCTCTGGGGTATAGTGGGAACGGAACAGTGAGCAGGCGGGCAATCAGGCATGCATGCACGGAATAGGTATGCGAGTGGATGACTGGGGGTAAGAACTGAACTTACCGATCGCGTATTGACTGAATCATAGAGAGGCATCACAGACGTACAGGAATCCCTAGACAGGCGAGATAAGCCGCGCTGGAAGGAGCAGGAGAACGCAGGAAGGGGCGGCGACAGAGGGAACGCGACATCGCCGTATGCGCACGGGATCAGTGATGACAGGCGTGCCGTACCGCAGGAGAGGACGCCGGTGGAGGACGGCCTGAGCGATCTCGACGCGGGGCGTAGGCGGGTGATGCGTGCAGATCATCCTGACGCGAGTGGACACTGGTAGGCGAGCGGACGCGGGAGGAGAACCTAGATCGGGCGAGAGATGGGTGCATCATCGTTGTATTGGGAGCCGATTGTCGAGATGGCGCGGGGAGATGGCATTCGAGGGTTGCGCCGATGGCGGTAGGCGCGGGCGCGTGCGGGAAGCTCGGGGGAACGTAACGCGCAGGGCTGCCGTTACCCGATGAGAGCGACCAGGTGGGAAGTCGAGTGGACGTTCGCGAAGTCGGCGCGTCTGCTGCGAGTTTGAGCAGGACGTGTGGCATTGGCAGGGAGAATGGGCGGCCTGAACTTACTTAGCAGGGTGTGCTTCGTCATGGCCACGAGCAGCCGGGGACGGCCGGGGGTGAATGAAGACGCGGGCGGGGAGGTTGGACGGACGGGGTGGCGGTGCTCACTTTCGTAGGACCTACGTGACAATGCATGTGTGCATCGACGGACTCGCCAACGCGGTATCGGCGGAGTGCTCTGGGCGGCCAGCTTAGATCCCCGTGCCGTCGGGACGGCGTGTGACATAGACCGACCGCAATATTTCGAGGGCGCGGGTGGGGTGGAGACCGGATGCCGCTGCGGGCGGTGAGACTGGCGAGCGGGCGGTGCACGCGACACCGAAGGAAGAACGTGCAGATACGTACGGTATTGCGCATTGCATAGCGTGCTGCGATGGGATATGACGCCGCCGCCGCCTACTATGCCGCGCACCATCGAGACTTCGAGCGGGGGCAAGACGGCCGTCTGGACGTCACCTGCGTAATTCGACATAAGAATAAACGACCGCAGCGGGGCGGCGTGACCTGCGGCGTGCGCCGCAGGGAGGAAAGGAGACGCGGACCTGGTCATTTTCGCTGTAATGGAGAAATCGCGGACAGGTGTGTCGTCGACGGTGGAGGGCGGGTGCCGCCCGGCAACCTAAGTAGACAGTGCTCGGTGGCTGGGCTCCACACCGCTTCGAGCTGCGAAGGCGGACGACGACATCGACCGTTCTGCGCGGGCTCGAGGCGTGGGATGCCATGACGACGAACAGGCTCGCGAGGGCTGGGTCGGTGGAGAATGCTCGCGGGGGAGGTACGGCATGCGCGCTTGGTAAAAATACAGAGGGTGCGTCGAGACGCGTCGAACAGGCGGGCGCAGGTTAAGGTGCAGTTAGGAGTAACCGCGGCGAACGAAGCGTTCGAACGTGACGGAAGATGACGCGCTGCGGGGAAATGGGTGCGCGGTGAGTGGACGTGCCAGCAGAGCGGCTCGGGCTGGGGTGTGAGATAGCGAGGGAGCTGCCGGGCGAGCGTGGGTGGGCAGACACTGCGTTTGGGAGGACGGGCATGCATGTGATATTGCACGTTGACCCGAGCCCGAGCGAGACAGGGCGGGCGCGCGGCGGCGGTAGGTACGTGCAGGCGAAGAACGTAGGTATGTCAGGTAGGGACACGTACGGGCGTGCGCCACCAGATCTGCGCGCGGGCGGGAGAAGAGTGGGCCCGGCGTGAGGGCGGGCGGGGACTGGGACGCCGGAGGGCGCTGAGGGAGTTGAGGCTGCGGGTGCGGGTGCGAGGAGACGAGAGGTCGGGACTTGGTGAATAACCGGGGTGGCGGGGTTGTCCGCGGGGAGGGGGTCGGGAATGGATCGCGAGCGGGTGGGAAGTTGCCAGGACGAATGGTAGCTGTGCGGAAGGGGCGATCAAGGCGAAGACGTGTGGTCGGGAGGGGGAGAAGCAAGGTTAGATTCGGAAGATGGGAGGCCTGCCATCAGGGCAAGGCGCGAAGATCCGTCCGCGAGCGAGTACTGCAGATCCAGCGGGCGAGTGTGTAGGACGCATTACGAGCGATGACGGAAGCGTGAGCGGTGAAGGTACGCGGCCTTGAGAGGGCGGACGGGCTAGGCGGGATCAGAAGAGGGAGGGGCTGATGATAGTATGACAGATTGAGGGCGGTAGCGTTGGATCTGGCGTTGCAAGAAGATGTGCAATGCGGCGGGCGGTATTCTAAAAAGAGAGGTTCGTCGGGCGGAGAAGAGCCGGAGCGGCGACACGTGAGGCGAGGCGGTGGACAGACGCGGGGGAAGACGAGGAGGAGGGGAACAAGAGTGGGCGTTGCCGCCTGTGATCATCGGCGGTCAGGAGAGCAGGGAGCGGGAGAACGTCGGAGGGGCGGCGAAGCGAGATCGTTGCTGGCAGTCCGAGCGGGCGAGGCGGTGCGAGGAGACCGCAGCGGGCGGGGGTGCGACGGAGGGCGCGATTTGGGACGGGGACGACGACGACGATGGCGACGAGCGGGCGGAGGCCGTCGGGGGAGGCGGGCGTCTGTGGTATGTTTTGGGCGTATGTCAGAGCTAAGGATTGATGGGAGAGGACTTCCGGATATGGGGTGGTGTCCGGCGGGTGCCGGGGGTGGGATATATGGGAGAGGAGTGGTGGCCCCTCCTTCTCTTTCCTCTGGAGCACGCCCGTCTGTCGTCGTATGGTTTTCGTTTGAAGGCCAGCCATCCTCTTCCTCCCCTCCCCTCTCTTGCTTTCTTCCTCCCGCCCAGCCCTGCCGATCCAAGGATACCGCCTGTAGTACGTCCCACTCGTGCTCGTCGCTGCCCGCCGCTTATCGCGCCCACCGCAGATCTCGCGACCCTTGCCGGCTTCTCCAATCCGCCCTCCCCCACAAGCAAAGCCCTCCCGCCCCCCTTCAAACGACCCCAAGCCCTACCGTACGCTGAGCCCCGCTCGCGACAAGTCCCCTCCGCACACCCGCTCCACATAGCCCACCAGCTATCCCCCCCTCCCCGCCCCGCCCCTCCCGCCCTCGAGACACTCGGATTCCGCTGATTTATCGCGTACCCGTCTCCTCTCGTCCCCTGCCCACCTCCTCCACGACCCCTTTGAAAACGCCCTTCCACCCGCCCTAGACGTTTCCCCGCCAACCCGCCCTTATCGCACCACTCGCACTCTTCCGATGGCCCTCCCACTCTCCATCCCCGACTCCCCCTCCGCGGGCTCCCCTGCCTCCACCGACGGCTCGAACGGGCCCCAGACCCCCGTTTCCCCCAACAACTCCGTCCACACCCTCGCTCTCCCGGCTGCCGACGGCTCAACGGCCCCCGCCGCGCCCATCTCCAACAACTCCGCTGCCGCCCAGAACAAGCGCAAGCCCTCCCGCCGCGCCAACACTGCCGAGCGCAGGGCCACCCACAACGCAGTCGAGCGCGCCCGCCGCGAGACTCTCAACGGACGCTTCCTGGTGAGTTTCTGATCATCCCTCTTTCTCTCACCCATCAATCAGGCGCTAAACGCCCCGTCGCCAAGGATCTTGCTGCTCTCCTCCCGAACCTTTCCCAGATCCGCAGGCCATCCAAGTCCTCCATCGTCAACTCCTCCATCGCACACATCCACGCCGCCCGCCGCCACCGCCTCCTGGCTGCGCGCGAGCTCCGCATCGTCAAGCTCGAGTCCGATGCCCTCCGCCGCGAGCTCAACGAATGGCGCGATCGTTCCGGCCTTCCCCGTGTCGAGGAGCCCGTCCGCGGCGAGGCTTTCCAGATGATCCTTTCGGGCGAGGTCGAGGTCATCAACGCCGGCCCGATGGAGGAGGATGATGGCGAGGACTACGGCGACGACGACTACGCCGGTCCCCCGACCGCCGTTCCCATTATGCACGATAACGACATGGACGGCCCCATCCACAAGGGCGACATCCACAACCCCTTCGCCCACTCCGTCCCCCAGCCCCGCGCCGGCGGAAACGGCCTCCAGCTCCAGACGATCCTCCCCCGCCCCACCAACGGCCACGGTCCGCACACGCCCATGGTCGTCCACAGCCCGACTGGCGTCTCCTTCGAGAACCCCGCCATGTCCGCGCTCTACGAGCCCCACCCCCACCACATCCAGCCCCAGTACTCCGGCGGGCAGTACATGTCCCAGCAGGGCCAGGTCATGGGCGGCCACGTCCACGACGACAAGTGGGGCTCCGCCCAGATGTTCAACGCGCAGGTCCCTGGTGGGCCTGCGCTGTTCACGCCGCCCGCGTCCTCCCACGGCGCGGGTAACGTGTCCCCGATGAACGTCGGCGGCCCGCAGCAGCAGCAACAGGCGCAGCAGCAGCAGGCGTTCCTCATGAACTTCCAGCGCCAGCAGATGATGCAGCAGCAGCAGATGGACGGCCACGCCAACTCGGGCCCCGTCCGTCGCGAGCGCAGCGGCAGCGTCAACAGCAACGGCAGCGGCTACGCCAGCCCCGTCAGCAACCCCGGCAGCAGCTACGAGATGCCGAGCGCCATGAACGGCCCCGCCGCCATCCCCCGCCGCATGGGCCAGGGCTGGGACGACGGCATGAACATGGCCATGGGCGGCATGCCCGGCATGGGCATGATGAAGGGCGCGCCCATCAGCGTCGGGGGCGGCGGCAACAACCACGGTTACGCCTCCATGATGCTCTGAGCGCGGCGCTGTCACTTCACGCGCGCACGCCGCTCGCCTCCGCTATGCCTATGGACTGTCCTGTTACATGCCCCCCGCGCTCGCTCGCGTCTTGGATCCCGCCCCGCCCTAATCCTATAGCTGCTTATGGCCACTGTATCTCGTATCCCCCGCTCTTATCTATCCGGCCCCGTGCTCGCTGCTCGCCACGCCGCCGCTTCTTGTGCTTTACGCTACGCCCCGTCGTGCTCGATACCTCCCCCGCGGCCGCGCACCCGCCCTTGTACCATTGCCCGCCTGCACCCACCCCTCACCCGGTCCCATCAGTCGTTTGCGCGCCGCCCCGTCGCCGCCATCCTGTACCCCACGCTCCCTACTAGCCGTGAACTCGTGTTGTGTGTTGCGCGTAACCCCTGCGTCGTGGGGCTTGCCCCGATCGCGCACCGCGTGCCTGCTTGAGTCTTGCTTAGCCTTGTCGTTCGTTACCGTGGCGCGCGCGAGGCGCCCAGTCGCTCCTTATCCACCCCCCGTGTTCCCGTTCTCGCCTTCTAGAGAGAACGTCTGGCGCAGGGCGCGAGGCGGGCTAGCCGTGTTCGCCTGAACGCGCAAGCTCCTGTCCGAGTGCTCTGTGTCGACATCGACGCTCGTTCTCTCCCCTCCGTTCTTTCTCTTCCACTTCGTTATCGCTAATAGTTTATACCCCCCACCCTCTCCCTTACCACGCTTTGGGCTCCCGGGTGCCTCGCTGCAGGCCGCAGGGCGGGCGCGCGGCCGGTGTCGTCGCTGCGCGCTCCCGTTGGTTGTACGTACTCCCCAGGTCTCTGCCGTCTGCTCTGGACGCGGAATACAGGTGTTGTGCTGCTATCGCTGCCTTGTGCACGCGCTCTCATGGACTCGCTCGGACTCGGACTGCTCGCTGGTGTTGGTAGTCGCTAGTTCCACTTGTTGTATCGGTAGTACTTGTCGCTGTCTCGCGAGCTGTACGACGTATAAAAGGATACATGGACGACTAGATACTAGATCTGCGCTCAGTTCCGCGCGTGCTCGGCGTGCCCCGCGGCTCGACGAGTCCGCGGGGGATGAAAGTCATTGTATCGTACTGTATGAAGAGAAGGAGAAGCGTCGCGCGTAGCGGTCTGCACCCGGGCGAGCGGGCGCAGGACATATGTATGCGACACATAGCCGAGCCTTGCAACTCGCACTACGCCAGATAAGGCAGATCCTGAGGGCGTCGGGCTGCGCGCGGGCTGGGATCAGGAACTGGGGAAGGTCGATGGAAGGAGAAGCACGCCCTCGAGGAGGGGGGGCTGATGGAATCTCGGGCTGCCCGGGGAGTAGGGTTCGTGGAGGGTCGGCTGACCTTGCGGTGGGGCGGGAGGGGGCCGGGGGTCCGGGGCGGGTGGGTGGGAGTGGCGGTTTGGAGTTTGTGGGTGGTGGGCGCGGGGCCGGCGTGTGCCGGGTGGTGGGAGGGATGTGTATGTTGGGGAGATGGCGCGCTCGAGGAGGTGGTGGCTTGAGAGGAGGTTGCGCGTTGAGATCGCGAGCTGCGACGGCGGTTGTGAGTGCAATGTGCTGTAGACGGCGCGTTCATGAATCCGCGTCGACGGCAGCAGCGGTCGCGCGGCGAGATCGCGCGTCGTGGCCGCAGCGACTGCGATTTGGGTGTACGTTCATGACACACTTGTTTCGTACGCATAGAGCCGCGCGAGGCCGCGGACTGCGATTGCGCAGCTGTGTGTGCGGGCCGGATGTCAAAATGAGACTCGGCAGATGTTGCGCAGTAAGGACGAGTGGCGGGGCGTACTGTGATCACAACGCGGCCGCGTTCGAGTAAAGGTTTTGCGACTGCGGCTCGTTCTTGCTGGCGGGACGCGCGAAATGCGGCACTTTCAGTGTCCCTTGTCGCTCGCGTAGTAGGCCCGACATACTTTGACTCTGCAGCGCCGTCGGAGGTTGCTCGACACGAGCATCGGACGCCGCGGCGGAGGCACGCGCGAAGGCTCCGCGTGAGGAGATTGGGGGTCGGGGGCGGTTCGCGGCGTACGAGAAGGTCGCATGTAAGTCTTCTCTTGCGTTGGTTGAGGCGATCCAGGAGAAATACCAGACGAAGGCGGGGGAGGTGGTTCTTCGGCGCGAGGTCTTCAGGGCCTTTTTTCACAAAATTTACGAACGGCAGAGATCAGTGGGTGGCAGGTGATTGACCACGGTGACGGCGTACGGGTAGCGTTGTGGGTGTATCTCAGCCGTCAACGTACGTAGACGTCTTGGTGGACCTCGGCGAGGATGAAAGTCGCGCGACATGCGACGTTAGGTGTGTTGGGTCTTCGTTGTCGAGCACGGCGGAGGAAAGACGTGTCCATGTGTCCGTGAAATCCAAATTTGTTGTCATACCAGAGGCCCAGGGCAGACCACACGAGCTGCCTACGGCAGTGTCAAGCATCTAGTGCAGAACGAAAGACTTTGAAGGTGAGGCGAGTCGAGTAAAGACGAATCAGAGCTAGACGAGACCTGCCAAGTGTTACAACGGTCCGGGCGTCTCGGACATGGACTTTGATCGCACCTCACCTATGCCTCACCTACGCCTCATGTTACTGATGTGGATGGACTACACGCGGATACGGTACAGCTACGGTATGGACACCATGAGGCAGCGCCTCATTGTTATGGTCCCGTAGGTAGCAGGCTTGCCTCCCCTAGTACGCACCGTTTCGGCCTGGCTTCTATGTATATTAGGACCCCTGGAGAGCTGAGGATGGTCCTCAGCTCGACCTGGTTATCTATCACCTTCACCCCTGAACTCGAGTCTCCTCTCCTGCCTGCTAGGCCCTTGCACCTGAACGTTACCACGACCCTCGAAGGTGTCGTCTTAACATAAGGTCGAGCTCGCCTACTCGACAGTCGATCTGCCTAGATCCAGACAATCTAGCCTGAACCATCGAACGACCCGGAGCCGCTACCTCTGACCGACGGTAGCGCAGAAGAACCCGACACGG